GTACAGTACAAGAAATATAGTTAATAATATTGTAATAACTGTGTAGGGGCAGATAATTACTAGACTTATTGTGGTGATCACATCATAAGGTATATAAATGTCTAGTCACTATAATTATACATCTGAAACTAATGTATGTCTAATATAAAAGTAAATTTTTAAAATGTCTAGCAAATAACAAAAAGTGCATTCACCAGTGCACTACGCTACAAAAGAACTTTAAGAAAAAAACTTCTCTGATATAATGTAGTATAAATATTCATGAAATCAAGCTAAAGAGATTGAAATACTGCCTAAAAAATGCTAACGTAATTAAAGATTTTTTATTCCTTAATTTATCATCTATCCACTTTTACTTATTAAAAAATCTATTTATTGAATTTTATGCATGGGACACCATGGTAGATTGACTAATAGACAAAATATCTACTTTCATGGAGCTTACATTTTAGTTGCAATCAGAAAATAAGCCAATAAATAAATTGATATATAATGTAAAAAAAAAAGTAGAAAATAAGTAAAAGTGTGGGGGGAAAAAAAGTAAAGCAAAATACAGGGATAGAGAATGTCCAACAGTATTTTGTATAGGTGCTGAGAGATCTGGTGACATTTAAGCATAGGAACGCGTAACATGAGAGAGTCCTATGACTTTTTTTTTTTTTTAGATTATTTTTTAAAGAGTCTTACAGGCAAGGTGAAAGCAAAGGCAAAGGTCTAGAGATAGGAAAATGGTTGGTGAGTTCCTGGAGGTCAGTGTGGCTGCTATGGAGTGAATGAGAGGAATTGTCAATAGGAATGAAATTGGAGAGGAACCTTGGGGTTAGATTATATATGGTTTTACCTGCCATAGTAGGATTTTTTTAAAGATTCTAATTGTAATGTGAATCCATTAGATATTTTTCTTGGTGAGTATGTAATCTGATTTGAGAATTAAAATGTTTACTTTGATTCTTTGTGATGAATAAATTGGGAAGTGGTGGGGGCAAGAATGGAAACTAAGATCATTTATAAGACAATTGCAGTAATAGATGTCTGTAGAGGTTGTCAGAAGTAGAGACTGGATATAGGGCTAATAGGATTTACTAATGGATTAAATATGGTGTGATAAACTAAAAAGGCACTTGGATGAGTTGAGCAACTGTATGAATAGTGTCACTTTTTACTTAAATGAATAAAACTGAGGGAGGAGGAGATTTGGAGGAGTGAATCTAACTTTGGATGTTTTAGTTGAGTTCCCTGTTCAATAGTCAAGTAGACATGCTAATTAGTAAACTCCAATTTAAGGGAAAGTTTAGTGGTGGAAATATCTTTGAGAATTCTAAAGGTTATCAGATGTTTACTTAAAGTTAAGAGACTGGATGAGGTTACCTAAAAGAGTGAGTGTAAGAAGATACCAAGAACTCAGTCTTGAGGCACTTCAGTTACTAGTGTTTAAGACAAAGTAGAAAATCAAAGATACAGAGTAAGTGGCTGGTGAGATTGAAGGAAAACCTGAGAGTGATATCCTAGAAGCAATGTAAAGAAAGTGTTTAAAGAAGTGAGAGATCAGGTATGTCAAAGGCTACTAATAAGTTGAGTAAGATAAAACTTAGAATTGCCCTTGGATATGCCACCAAGGGGATTACTGGTGATCTGATGATAAACAATTTTGGTGGAATAGTGGAGAGAAACCTTAATGAGGGGAGTCAGTCCAGGAGGAAATGGGAAGAGATGAATTAGATATAGTGATGATTGTTGGCTGTTTGGAAGAGTTTTACTATAAAATAGAGCAGAGATTTGGGGCTGTCAGACAGGAAAAAACATTTTTAATTAAGTTTAGTTTTTAGTGTAGTCACTTTTTTTGGCTGGTTTTCTATTTTGGAAATTTATTTGTGATTCTGATCATGTAATTTTGCAATTTTTCTTAAGGAATACAAGACATTTTAAAATAAGTTTAGTTTGCTAGATTAATTTTAGCTCACAGTACTTGAGGTCCACATTTCATATACGCAGGTGAGTGCATTTGTGTGTATGCCTGTCTTTGTTTTATCTGTGTTAGAATTAGTTTAATATACCCATGCAAATTCAGAATAGAAAAATGATATGGTTTCACTAGTGCTTATTGTTTCTTTTAAGTAGTTGCACTATCTAGATCAAGGGTGGGCAACCCCTGGCATGCGTGCCAAACATGGCACGCCAGTAACTTTTGCTGGCACGCGAAACCCTCTCTTATAATCTTCCATTTACAATTTTTTTCTTAATATCGACTTTTTTATTTTCCAGATAAATTCAATGTAGGTGCATCTTAGATAAATAAATAATTTTACATAACAAGTTATGTTAAAGACCATAGACATGGCTGACTTTGAAATGCAGTTGATTGAATTTCAGAGTAGCTCAATTTGGAAGCAGAAATTTATTGACCTTAGAGTTGACTTGGAAAACATTGAAAAAAAGCGATTAGAGACAGGAGTACCAGAGAGAAGTGTCGAAAACGAACTATTGAGGACTTGGAATGCCATTCCAGAAAATTTTTTTGTTTAAAAAACTTTGCTACAGTGTTACTCTCCATGTTTTCATCCACATACACTTGTGAATCTGTTCTCAGTGATGAATTTTGTTAAGTCTAGTAATAGGAGTAGCCTGAGGGATGAAAGTAGTAGCTCGTGCATATCTCTGAAGGTCACGAAATATAAACCTGATGTAAAATCTCTGTCATCAGTGATGCAGCAGCAAAAGTCCCACTGATAATATCAAACGGAGTCATAAAGTTTTCTGTCAGACTATCAGTGTACATGTATACATTAAAAAATAAATGTATTTTTCATCATCATATAATGTGTTTTTGTCGCTCGAATGAATTTTATTATTTCTTCAAGGTTCTTCACATACGTACACCTTAAGAGATATCAAGTAGGCGTAACATGTTCTCAAAAAATTAGGGTTGGCACGCAGAAGAATTTTGAGTCAGAGATTTTGCTGGTTTTGGCACGCACTCACAAAAAGGTTGCCCACCCCTGATCTAGATCTTAGAGTTAGTGGTCTTTCATCATCATTATTTAAAGTCTTGCCCAGATGCTTTTTGATATTGAATCCTTTAAAAATCTCAGTGTCTTAATGTCTTGTTTGGAAACCTGTCAGTTCTGTTTTGAATATCAAACTTTATCCCTTTAATAGCTCTGGTCATGCATTTTCCTTTGGAAGTAACCTCAGAATCTCCACAGAGATTTTTTTTAAACATGCTGCTCATCTTGAAATCTTAGAAGATCTTTTATCATACCTTTTTATTACAAATAAAGTTAATAGTGAACTCTCTTCCCCATCCCATTCTTTGTGGAGCTGCTGCTAGGCAGGAGAAATATAGGAGGGAAATCATGTGCTGGCACTGGGTTTTATGCCAGATATTTTAAGTCAGTTACTCTTACTTTCAGTACTTATATGAAAGGGTACTAATTACACAAGAAGTTATTTTCCTCCTTCAAATTATCTTCCTTCTTTATGTATCACCTATGCCTAATTTAGTATCTGTCCCTGAATAATAGAGCCTATTTAACTTCTAGAGAACGCCTATCTTTTAAAATCGAGGGTTGTGAGAGATGGATATGGGAATATGTACAGAGAAGCTGGTTAAAATAGTTCACAGAAATATTGTGGGTTTTAGAAGAAAGGACAGCAGGCTTTAAAAACAAACTCATTCTTACTTGCTTTATGGTCATAGGTAAACTTTTTGGTCTTCAGCTTTCTTATATGTTAAACTAGAGGCTTGGTGCTGATTTTTTACAGAGAGGAAGGGAGAGAGATAGAGAGTTAGAAACATCGATGAGAGAGAAACATCGATCAGCTGCCTCCTGCACATCTCCTACTGGGGATGTGCCCACAACCCAGGTACATGCCCTTGACCGGAATCGAACCTGGGACCTTTCAGTCCGCAGGCCGACGCTCTATCCACTGAGCCAAACCGGTTTCGGCTCTTCAGCTTTCTTATATGTTAAACTAGAGGCTTGGTGCACGAATTTGTGCACAAGGGGATGGGGCTGACCAGGAGGAGGGGCCACGGGCAGTTGGCTGGCCATCCCTATCCCCTGGTTGAATTTGCATATTAGACTTTTATTATATAGGATGGCTTTGGTGATACTTAATCCAATAGAATTGTTGTGGAAATTAAATGAAGTAATGTGTGTAATGTACCTAGCATAGTGCTTGATATGTAGATTTTGAACCCTTTTTTTTCCATTTGTTTTATATGTAGGTAGTTATGCTTTTATAACTCCAAAAAGCATACATAATTTATTGTTTACATAGTCTGAGAAGAAATACATTTTCTATATTTATATTTCTATAAAATACTTTATAGAAATTTTACTCTCTTGGGAGCAAAATTATTCTTTTGGGAATATTTTCTGTTTTCCCAGTAGATAGACTTCAATCTATACTTAAAAATGTTGGGATTTGTTTATTCTTGGACATATTAAGCATTCTAAACATCTCCTTGAGCCTTTAAAATATCCGTTTTCATTTGGAGTATGTAGAGAGAGGGAGAGAATTTGAAAACACAGTAATTTAGAATTATTTTGTATTGGAAGAAATGAATGCTTATCATATTTAATATATATTTACTAAGCAACTCTGAAAATAACATTCACTGAGCCAAGACTATTCTATTGGGAACTCACATGTATGAGAAGGGAAAAACTTTATTTTTATTCTATTTTAATTTGTAATTTGATTTTTTACACCTATATAAAGATCTTTAACCTAATGAGTGAATAGATGAAATATTAACCTACATTCGCTTTTATCTATAGGAAATAAATACTGTGAAACTGGCAGCAAACTTTGGGAAACTTTGCACAGTCCCTCTGGCCAGCATCCTTGTAGACAATGTTGCACTACAATTTTTTATGGGTAGGTAAATCCATTTTATGAAAATAATATAATCCTTGAAATTTTTAATAATTGTAACTATTATTAAATTTTAAGTACTCAGTGTTAAGCATGCCAGATCTATCTCACCTCTTCCTCTTATTCTCTGAAGTGTTCATTTTTTTCACTGGAAAACAGAGGTAGAGATTTATTTTGTTTTGAAGAAACAAATGCTTATTATAACTCTGTTGTGCATTTGCTAAACTGCTTTTAAAATAAACCTTGGAAGAGTCTACTGTGAATTTAAATTATTTGAGGAAGAGTATTTTATGAGGAGTACGTGGCATATATAACTGGTTTGTATCACTTTCGTGTGTGAATGGGGAGGGAATTTTATTACAATTACATCATAATTCCTTTTATTTGGAGAACATTTTTACCACAACTTTCTGATTCTTAATTTTCATGATAAAAAATATAGCTACATGATTTGTTGAAAAGTTTAATTTTTAATTTTACTGTTTATGTAAATATTAATACATATTATGATTATTAATGTTTATTGAGAACAAAAGCTGAATGCTAACAAAATGGTTTATTTCTGAGGAAACTTTGTGTAGCAATTTTATCCCCTAAAGATTTTATTATGAAAAATAGATATTTTTAAATGTGCTTTTATTTACGTTTCCTATATAACTGGTCTTTTTTAACTTAACTAATTCATGATATAACTATATTTTCACCTCAGACACTTTTTATACATTTTAAAATGTCAAATTTTAAGTATTTGAAACTTTAATTTTTCTTAACTTATACAGCTACATGCACCCAGAAATGTGTGACACTAATATCTATGGTATGGATTTTATTTGGTAGATTACATGCAGCAAACTGGAGGTCAAGCACATCTCTTCTTCTGGATGACAGTGGAAGGGTACCGGGTTACAGCCCAACAACAACTACAAGTTTTATTAAGCCGTCAGAAAGATGGAAAACATCAAACCAACCAAACCAAAGGTCTTTTAAGAGCAGCTGCTGTTGGAATTTATGACCAGTATTTATCAGAAAAGGTGAGGATATATTTTGGTTAATATGTTCTTATCTTCTTTGGCAGTATCATTAATAATAATTTTTATAGTGCTTATAAATATCCATTACTTATGCTAGGCACAACTTTTTCACAAATATTGTCTCATTTAATCCTGATCACAGTCTTATTTTGTATATTATCTTTATTTTGAAGGGAAGAAACTAATGTTTAGGAAATTGAATTAACTTGGCCAGGGTCATGAAAATACTAAATCAGTGGTTCTCAACCTTCCTAATGCCGCAACCCTTTAATACAGTTCCTCATGTTGTGGGGACCCCCAATTTCATTGTTACAAATTGAACATAATTAAAGCATAGTGATTAATCACAAAAACAATATGTAATTATATATGTGTTTTCAAATGGTCTTAGGCGACCCCTGTGAAAGGGTTGTTCGACCCCCAAAGGGGTCGCGACCCACAGGTTGAGAACCGCTGTACTAAATGATAAAGTCACACACATTGTAGATTCAAAGACACAATAGTTGAAAGTAAAGAATGAAAAAGGTAAATTATGCAAACAGTAACCAAAACAGAGCAGGAATGTCTATGCTAATAGATTTTAGTATAGACAATAGATTTTTAAGATAAAAATTGTTAATGAGAAAAGAGGAACATCTATATAATAAAGGCCTAATATGTTAAGTGTCTGACCAGTCGCTATGATGTGCACTGACTACCAGGGGGCAGACGCTCGACTGGTAGGTTAGCTTGCTGCTGGGGTCCGGCTGATTGGGACTGGGTGAGACAGGCCGGACCTGCCCTGGAGCCCTCCCGCAGTTCCTCCCTGGCCTCGATCATGCACCGCTGGGGTCCCTTGGCCTGGCCTGCCCCCTCTCGCAATCCAGAACTCCTCGGGGGATGTTGGAGAGCCGGTTTTGGTCTGATTCCACAGGCCAGGCCAAGGGACCCCAGGGCCTCTAGTCTATCCTATCTAATAAAAGAGAAACATGGTAATTAGCCGTACATCCGCTACCCTTCCCATTGGCTAATCAGGGCGATATGCAAATTAACTGCCAGCCAAGATGGCGGCTGGCAGCCATGCACTGAAGCGAACAGGGAGGCTTGCTTGCTCCAGTGACGGCAGACTCCAACGTTCCCCGCCTGACTTGCCGGCCTCTCAGCTGCAACTCTAAGCAACTATGTTGCAAATATAGAAGCTAAACCAAACCCCAGAAACCTGCTTTATTCAGCCCGGCTTCAGCCAGCCGGACCGCAACATTGTATCAAATACAGAAGGTAAACAAAGGCCAGAAACTTGCTTTCAGCAGCTGAGGCCTCAGCGCTAAAGCCGGCCCAGAATAAAAAAAAAAGAAAAAAAGGAACGGTTGGGAGCTTCAGTCACCCGCCAGCCTGAAAACAGCCCTCAGCCCCTCAGCCAGACTGGCCAGGCACCCCAGTGGGGGCCCCCACCCTGATCCAGGACACCCTTCAGGGCAAACCAGGCGGCCCCGACCCGTGCACCAGGCTTCTATTCTATATAGTAAAAGGGTAATATGCCTCCCGGCACCTGGATCAGCGGAGCAGCGAGGCCTCCCGGCACCGGGATCAGCGTGACAGGGGGCAGCGCCCAAACCCCCTGATCGCCCTGCGGCTCTGTGTGTGACAGGGGGCGGGGCCACAACCTCACTATCCGCCCTGCTCTGTTCGTGACAGGGGAAGGCGCCCCAGCCCCCTGATCAGCCCTGCTCTGTGCCTGATAGGGGGGAGCTCCCCAACGCCCTGATCGCCCTGCGACTCCGTGTGTGACAGGGTGCAGCGCCCTAACCCCCTGATCGGCCCTGCTCTGTGTGTGACAGGGTGCAGCTCCTCAACCCCCTGATCGGCCCTGCTCTGTGTGTGACAGGGAGGAGCTCCTCAACCCCCTGATCGGCCCTGCTCTGTGCGTGACAGGGGGGAGCTCCTCAACCCCCTGATCGGCCCTGCTCTGTGTGTGACAGGGTATGGAGCCCCAACCCTCCTGATGGGCCCTGCTCTGTGCATGACAGGGGGTGGCGCTGCAGCTTCCCTATCGACCCTGCCTTGAGTGTGACGGGGGCGGTGCCCCAACCCCCCAATCGGCCGTACCCTGAGCATGACTAGGGGTGGCATCACAACCTCCCGATCCGCCCTGCTCTGTGCATGACAGGGGGCAGCGCCCCAACTCCCTAATCGGCCCAGCTCTGAGCCCGACCAGGGGCTGCACCTAGGGATTGGGCCTGCCCTCTGCCACCCGGGAGCAGGCCTAAGCCAGCAGGTCGTTATCTCCTGAGGGGTCCCAGACTGTGAGAGGGCACAGGACGGGCTGAGGGACCCCCTCTCCCCCTCCGAGTGCACAAATTTTTGTGCACCGGGCCTCTAGTATATATATAAAAGGCTAATATGCTAAGTGTCCATCCCACCGGCAGCTATGACGCATACTGACCACCAGGGGCAGACACTCTACACAGGAGCTGCTTAGCTGCAGTGACTTGGCAGTGGTGGTTCTTAGGTGATGCACACCTGAAACCAGAGAGGAGGAAGCCCGATTATTCATAGGGTCGCACAGTTCTACCTTCGGCTGTGGGCTATGTTGTTGCTGGGGCACTGTTGGCTCTGAATCTGGTTTACCGCACACTTGAGTTTGCGTTCCACACCCTGAATGACAGCAACTTTGCAGAGTGCCCTCGCGCACTCTGGGACCCCTCGGGGGATGTTGGAGAGCCAGTGGTTTTGGCCCAATCCTTACAGGCCAGGCCGAGGGACCCCACCTGTCAGAGGGAACCTCACTTTGCAGATGCCCTTCGAGCCACAGCACCACTCCAGATGCGGCCGGCTGGGGAGGGACAGAGGGAGGTTGGTTCCAGGGTGTGTCCGGCCCATCTCACTCAGTCCCGCCCTGCCGGCCACCTTTTAATTAATTTCCTTTCAGTGTGCACAAATCCGTGCACTGGGTCACTAGTTTTATAATAAAAGGGTTAATTGATCAGGGTGATAAAACAATCAGAAACATAAAAAGCCCCCACATTCATGGGGAAAAAAACACAACCTGACAAAATTGAAGAGAGAAATAGATAATTTAGCAATAATAGTTTAAGACTTCAGTACCCACTCTCATTAACTGATAGAACAATAGGATAGAATTGTTAAATTGGTAAGAGAAATAAATGAGATGTAGGCTTAAGAGTAGCGCTGGAAGTCAAAGTGAATTTTACATTTTGATTGTGCTGTTTTACCACTATGTAAAAGAAAAGATTTTCTAAAGGCTGCAGGCAGATCAGACAGGTTTTACTAAAAAGAGAAACACACAAAGTAAAAATATCCTATGGGTTCATGGAATAAAAAGAAAAGTAATTTTTTAAATTAAATATAGATAATATCCTAGTATATGTATAATTTCATTTTTAAATCATATTTATGTATATTAAGAATATACAATAATATAACCGATAATATTTAAATATCTAATACTTACAAAGTTAAAATTAATTGCTGTAACAGAGGACAAAAACATAAGTACTTTATTATATATTTTTAATAATACTTGTATTATTAGTTCTATTAATACTAATTGCCATTGTTTACTAGTCCTGTTATTTTGTTTAACCACATTTGTGTAATAGAAAAGTAAAGAATACAGATTAATACATAATTTTGGAAAACAATCACTTTTGTATTATTAAGGCAATAACAAATGTGTAAACTTATTTCTTCTATATTACTTTTCTGAGTGGGGCAGTCTGGTAAGTTGTGACCTATGATAGCTCTCCAGAAGTGTTGGTCACCCTATACCAGGGAGCCTTAATCCAATTCTGTGTACCAGAGTTTATAGGAAAAATTAAATAAATATAAAATGTTATTTTTAAATTTGCCTCTTATTATTTTCTAGAAACTGAGTTTAGAGAGCTTAGAGGATAAATGCAAGGACAGAACCAACTAACATCATGTTCCTCTCTAATCTTTGTCACATACTCGGAGTTGTTTAGCTCTCCTATTCCTGTTTCAGGGGAAAACAAACACACACACTACACCACACCCTTCTATACACAAACAACAGTTAAGCACCCTTCTCTCTCCCAAAATGAAAACCACTATATGACCTGCTTGGACTTACTAACAATAATGTTGAATTAACAAGGGAGCATTATAAGTTCTGTAGCCCTTTTTCTACAAAATTATACCCTGCTGTATACTTTTTCTTCTTTTATCCCTTTTCTTGATTTATTCATTCTGTTCCTTAGATACTTTATTGGATAGCATGGAGAAATTATTTAAACTATGCATTCTTTTGCTAGTTTTCTAAGAGTTAACATCCTGATCACTTGATTTCCGGAGCCTTCAGAACTAAAACTTCGAAGTTGACATCATAAAGATGACCATAGTCCTAGATTTCAGCATTTTTTTCTTTCAGTAAAGTAATTTTTCACATTTAACATCAGATTTTGGAAGTTGTTGGAACAGATGAACTTTTCAGATAAATTTCCTCTCATATCACAATGGAACTTTGCTGCAGTTTTATAAAACCAACTTTAGGATAAAGGTAGTCTCTTTTAAAAGGCATTCAAAGGGTCATTTCTATTGTTAAGTGGTAAGTAACAAATGGCTTATTATTTTGGCAGTTGTAGTAAATACACACCCAGCAGGACTACTGAATGTTCAGAACCATCTCCTAATGAAAGTATTTCCTATGTGCCAGACATTGTGTTTGTATGGTTTACATAAATCTCTTTTAATCCTTGTAACAACTTTAGTAGTATTTCCATTTTGCAGATTGAGTAAATGTTTGTCTACCAGGCTACTATATTACGCAATGACAAGGAAATTCTAGCTCTTATATCAGCCTTCTTAAACATCAAGTTATCGTTTACAAACCAAGCATTTTCTGGCAGTTACTTTCAATAATATCAAGGTTTAAATTGTATTTAGAAATTCCAAAGATAATTATTACTGTAATTTTTCTGTTTGTTAGGCATCTCCACGGGTTACTGTTGATGATTATTTGGTAGCGAAATTAGCAGATACCTTGAATCATGAAGATCCAACTCCTGAAATCTTTGATGACATTCAAAGAAAGGTATTATATACAACATTTATTATTAGATCTTTCTTGAAAATATGTATATTTCCACATCATGTAATTTGTTTTTAAAAAACTTACTGAAAATTGTAAAAAATTGCTTGGCTGGAGTGGCTCAGTCGATTGGAGCATCATCTCATGTACCTAAGTTGCTTGTTTGATCCCGGTCAGGGCATGTACCTGACTGTAGGTTCAATGCCTCATCGGGCATGCACTGAAGGCAGTCAATCCATGTTTCTTTCTCACATCAGTGTTTCTCTTTCTCTCCCTTTCTCTCTCTAACCATGTCCTCAGGTGAGGATTTAAAAAAAAGAGAGGGGAAACTAATGAGTTATGGTAATAATACTTCTCAATTACAAAAAAGGTGGGCCACTTTGCTAGTTTATTTATTTATTTAACAAGTGAGGGAAATCCTTATTTTAGGCTGTTTTATATCGGTCTGACTGCAGAGCCAGATATACAATCTTAGAATTTCATGAATTGATGATGTAAATAAATAATGTCACTCATTTATTTGAATGTGTTTGAGTCTTTGGGTGGACTTGTTTCTTAGAGAATACCACTTACTAGAACATCTTCTATAATAATAAAAGTGTAATATGCTAATTAGACCGGGCATCCTTCTGGACGACCTTCCGGATGAAGCTGAGGCTGCGAGGGTCGAGCCCCTTGCACGAATTTCATGTATCGGGCCTCTAGTTATGTATAATCTGCTATCATATGACATATGTTGTAGTGGGACCCCTTTCAATGCAATTTCAGTACTGTTAAACCAGAGAAATCACTAGTTGTGACAACATCTTGTAAATATTGAGCCTGTGATTCATTACAGCAAGACCATTTTCTTTGTTAATGATTGAATATCTTCATTCAATAGGTGTATGAATTGATGCTACGAGATGAAAGATTTTATCCTTCCTTCAGACAGAATGCACTTTATGTGCGCATGTTAGCTGAGCTGGACATGTTAAAAGATCCTAGTTTCAGAGGATCAGATGATGGTGATGGAGGTATGTGACACACATTGCACACTTATATGTGTATGTATTTCTATATGTTCTTGGGTGTTGTTAATCTGTACCCGAGGATATGTTTCCATTGACTTTTAGAGAGAGAGTGGAAGGGATGGGGAGCGGCAGACAGAGGGAAACATCAATGTGAGAGAGACACATTGATTGCCTCCTGCATGCTTCCCAACCAGGACCAGTAATCAAGCATGCAACTGGGGTACATGCTCTTGACAGGAATCGAACCCAGGACCCTTCAGTCCACGGACTGATGCTCTATCCACTGAGCCAAACTGGTTAGGGCTGTATTTCTGTATATTCTGCTTACCAAATAAAGGACCTTTCAGACAAGATAAATTTTCTTGAAGTTCAAATATAAATTGTTATATATTTAAAAACCTATAAATGAGTGACAATGTTTAGTTACCATACTAAATTAAAATGTTGAAAATATAACAATAGATTAAAATGTGAATCTATAGAAGCCTTGAATTCTTAAATAAAATTTTTTTGAGTTTTTTTCATATAAATACTTTTATGGTAAATAATATTTATGACTAAGATGTAACAGTAGGATTAGTGAGAAGAGTAAATGAGAATTACAAGTACAGAGTATACCATAAACTATAAAACTTTATTTAAAAAAAATACAGTTTTTTTCTCTCTTTAATTATACTGTTTTTCCAAATCCTGTACAGTAGAAGCTAGAAAAGCTATAGCAGTCATTTATTGTATTCTTTTTTTTTTTAAATATATTTTATTGATTTTTTACAGAGAAGAAGGGAGAGGGATAGAGAGCCAGAAACATAGATGAGAGAGATTGATCAGCTGCCTCCTGCACGCCCCCCAGTGGGGATGTGCCCGCAACCAAGGTACATGCCCTTGACTGGAATCGAACCTGGGACCCCTGAGTCCGCAGGCCGACGCTCTCTCCACTGAGCCAAACCGGTCTCGGCCATTTATTGTATTCTTATAGTTTTTTCAAATGAGGTTACTATCAGCTTGGTATAGTGAGAAAAGCAGATTGTAAGAGTCAGAATAGTTATATTTTACTCCTGTTCTGCTACTTATTACCTGTGTGATGTTGGCTAAACAATTTCTTTAAGCCTCATTTTTCAAAATTGTGAGTCTGGATTAATAGTTTTCTCATAATAAATATCTTACCTCTGACTTATTGTCAGATTTAAATGGAATTATGTGTATGAAAATTATAAATTAAAACACATGTCAATTTTTATTGGTAGTAAATAATCAGTTATTTACTAATAGTGGGAGAGGCAGCCCTTAGAGCACAAGGTTCCAGATTCTTACGCCCAGTGTTTATTGTACTTGTGATCCCGTTCAGAAGTTCTTGTTAAACTCTGGTTAAATATCTAGGGTTTGATAAACTTTCTAGTATGTTCTAAGCAAATAAATAATGTAAATAAAAAGTAAATGGGAAAGATTTGACTAAGTAATAGTTTAAGAGAGTACTTTAATTATAATCATTTACTTATGAATAAGTTCATGAATAGGACCATATGAGGTCCTATATTAGTGAGATTTTACTTTTCAAGTGATCTAAGAAATCTATTTATAGATGTTTTCATTTGAGTTTTAATACCTTTTGTCTTAATTATTGACCTGATATCTTGGGTTTTTAATTTGCTACTCTTTCTTGTCTTATTTGTAAAATTAGAATAATATTTAACTGAATTTGATTGCATAATTAAGGAAGTTTTTTTCTTTCTTTTTTTTTTAATTCTCACCCAAGGAATGAGGCTATTTTCATTGATTTTTTTTTTTTTTTTTTTTAATCAGAGTAAAGAGGGTTTGGGGAGAAGAGAGAGAAACATTGATGTGAGAGAGACACATCAATTGGTTGCCTCCCACACACTCTCTGACTGGAGACGGGTATCAAACCTACAACCCAGGTATGCACCCTTGACCAGGAATCGAACCCACGACCCTCTGGGGAGAGCAGGCTGACACTCTAACCATGGAGCCATGCTGGCTAGAGCCAGAAAGGATTTTTTAAGGAGTACTTCTGTGGGAGCTGAATAGTAAAATTCAGTTTACCTCAGGTTTACTGTGTGATATATCTGTATGTAGTGTGTGTTGGAAAGTCTTATAGAGCTGCTGTGAAAGGTGCAGTAGCAACTCTGCTTCCAGAGAGGATTGCTATCAGTATTTTAATTTTATGGACTTTAGAAATTTCTCAGTGTTGTGAAATGTATTTGTTATATTACTCAGAATGAAGGGAGATAACCTGTGTCATAATTCTATCATTTAAAATGATGATAGTAACAATATATTCTATGGGAGTAGTTTTTGATGCTGTAGTGTAAGAACTCTTTCAAAGTCATCTTGACTTTTAGCTTCCATATAGATCTTTTTTTAGCCAGTCTATCTTCTTTTATGCAACTAACAGAAACAAAATTTATAAGCCATTTCAAACTGCTTCAAAACCTCATATTTACTTAAAACATAAAGTATATTTTTAAAAAGTTTTTCTGCAACTGGTTGTGATCTGAAGTAAACGTACTTCTCTTATACATCAGTTATTGAGTAATCCCTTGCATTGGAATCATTGATTGTAGTTGGAATTGCATACATATGTATCTTTTGTCTTTCTAGACCAGGGGTCCTCAAACATTTATCCGGCCCGCCGGGTGTTTTTGCCACTGCTGTGTGCATAGGAATTTGTTCATAGTTTTTTTTTAAACTATAGTCCGGCCCTCCAACGGTCTGAGGGACAGTGAACTGGCCCCCTGTTTAAAAAGTTTGAGGACCCCTGTTCTAGACATTGCTTTTTAACATTCCATGTCCTAATTAATGAGCTTTTATATATTTTATCACAAAGAAATTGTCCCTCCCTTTTCTTTTGAAATCATTTGAAAAAAGCATGTAGAATAGTGTGTATAATACAAACTTATAAAAATAGCTGTCAGACCCTGGCTGGTGTGGCTCAGTTGGTTGCAGGTTCAATTCCTGGTCAGGGCACATACCTAGGTTTTGGGTTCCATCCCTGGTCTAGACTTGTACACAGTTGGGTAACTGATTGATGTTTCTCACATTAATGTTTCTTTTCTCTATCCTTCCACCCTCTCTAAAAGAAACATATCCTGGGGTGGGGATTTGAATGATTGAATGAATGATGTTAGGTGTATTGTCCTTGTCAGTGTTTAGGTTTTAGGCAGTTGCAACTTTTTCAAATAATAATGCTTATCTTTTCTTGTCTTTATAAGATTATTTAATAAAAAATAGGCTTTCCCCAAATTTTTTGTTTCAAATTTATTTCCTGACTTTAAATTTAAGTGTACTTACACTTGGTGTATATTATACATTCTGAAATTTTGGCTACTTTTCTCAAATTAATATAAATTTGCTTTTAAGATCTCTTTAGAGATCCAAATTCATAATCTCTTAAGTGCTAGAAACCATACATATTAACTTTAAACTATAAATGAATATTGCTTTACCACATATTTATTTGGTAACTTAATTTGCTGAGATGTAGATAAAACCTGAGGCAAAAGACATTAGCCAATTAACTGCCACGTGTCCAAAACGGAAACCATACCCACAAACCATGATATTTTGAATTTAATTAAAAAAAAATCATCTGACTCTGGAGTTGAATAAAGGATGGCATTTTCTTTTTGCGAGGTGCTTGGTTCGATTATTTCTTCATCTGATGCCATTTATGGGGATTGAATTTTATTTGCACAATATGATATATTACAGCGATAAATTCAATGACAAAATAATAATTTTCAGTTTTACGGAAATATCAACAAAAGCGAGCTTGAAATAAAAATAAACCATCAACACAAAAAGTCTCGAAAACACTAAATTTTGTTGATGCTCCAAAGAAGAATGCACACCCTGTTTACCATTTTAGGCATTTAATTCATGACTAGAGGCCCGATGCACAAAGATTTGTGCAAGAATGAGCCTTCCTCCCCTTGGCTGCCGGCACCGCCTTTGCTCCTGCCGGAGCTGCCTTTCCACCTTCCCACACTGCCCAGAGGCCCGGAGTGGCTGGGGCGGTGCTGAACGCCTGCGTTGTTGCCATGGTGACGACGCAAGCATTCCACCCCAGCCGCTTGGCACCTGCATATGCAAATTAACCTGCCATCTTTGTTGGGTTAATTTGCATGCATACTCTTGATTAGCTAGTGGGCGTCGTGAATGTATGATCAATTTGCATCTTTCTTTTTTATTAGTGTAGATAACACAAATCTCAAGTGTCGCAGTGTTTATCTCTTGCGTGTCTGAGTGGCAGCCCTATATATTGATATTGGAATTTCTTCCATATGCACTGGAATATCTACAAATTTAAGTTACCATAATTTTCTTGACAAACCCAGAGATGTCACTAACAAGTCTGATTTTAAAATTGGGCAACCAGAGTTGATATGCGTGGTATGTGGGGGGCAGGTTCGCCACTTGCATCTATAGACACTTATGTGTACAATGGGTTAATTTTCATAAAGTATAATTGACTTATTTTCTAACATTTTAAAAAATAATTTTAGTTGCTTTTTAATTAAGTGGCATTGCATATGGAGTTTTACATATATTTTGTTCTATTATTTACAGTGGTTTAAAAATCTAGACTTATAATGTTTTTGAACCAAATCTACCAAGATAAGTATACTTAAAGTTATGTTAAAAATCAGTCTGTTCTTCACACTAAAGAATAATTTTATTTGTAATATTTCTTAATCCAGAGAAACAGAAATAACAAAATACTTCTCACATATCGAACACTCAGTCTGCTATATTTTCCTCATGTTTATATTGTATTAGGCAACTTAATACCACACTATGAGGATAAAATAATTTAATAGTTGCTCTCTCTGTACATGAATGCCTGTGTGTGTGTGTGTGTGAGTGTGTAGCCAGCTTAGGTACATACAGAGTGGTGCAGAAGTAAGTTTACAGCTTTGAATACACAAAACATGTTTATTCTTACATTATTATTAATTGTATTATCTTCAATATGAATAATTGTAAACCTATTTTTGTCCCACCTTGTATCCTATATAATAAAGAGGTAATATGCAAATTAACCCTTATGCCCTCACAAGATGGCTTCCTACAACCAGGCCGGCAGGGGGATTAGTGAGGGACAATCAAACGACTGAATAGCAGGCTGCGTGGGGCGACCAGGCCAGCGGGGGGGCCATGAGGGGTGACCAGGCTGGCAGGGGGGGCAGTTGAGGGCGACCAGGCCAGCAGGGGTGGGAAGTTGGGGCAACCAGGCCCGCAGGGAGGGCAGTAAGGGGTGACCAGGCCGGTGGGGGGGGGCAGTTGGGAGCTACCAGGCCGGCAGGGAGTGGGCAGTTGGGGGTGACCTGGCCAGCAGCAGGGGGGCAGTTAGGGGCAACCAAGCCAGCGGGGGTTGGGGGGGGCAGTTAGGGGCGATAAGGCCGGCACACCGAGTCAATTGCGGCCAGGCAGGCAAGCAGGTGAGCGATTAGGAGCCAGCGATCCAGGATTGTGAGAAGGCTGTCTGACTGCTGGCAGTTGGACATCCCCCAAGGTATCCAGGATCGGAGAGGGTGCAGGCTGGGGTGAGGGGACTCCCCCACCCCCACCACCATGCACGAATTTCATACACTGGGCCTCTAGTGTATGTATGTATATGTATATGTGTGTGTATGTGTATGTGTGTGTGTATATATATGTATATATATATATATTTTTTTTTTCACTGAAATTCCTGGCTGGGAAAACCATGGGGCTTAGGGGAACAGGTGTTTGGGATTAGTATATGACAGATTTCTTTCATCTTCTGTTATGTCTTTGGCTTGGCTAACTTTCATTCTTGGTGTTTGAATCTTAGATAAAGCAACAGTTTCAAAAGTCTTTTACTGTATACTAAGTTGAATTTTCTTTCCCACAGAATCTTTTAATGGGTCTCCTACAGGAAGCATAAATTTGGTACGTACTATTCTGGGTACTTAATTATTAAAGTGGCTTGAAAATAATATGAGCTTTAACATGAAAATGAATAATATATTTAGAAGCCCCCAAATCATCCATTAGTGTTATAGGAAATTGTACTTTTAAAGAAATGTTAAACTCAGATATAAGACATCTGTGAATTAGAATTTTAAAATGAAACTTATTTTCATTTAGTATTTTTAAATTACTCTGCTTAGTACAATGATAGGTAGTAAATTTGTGACATAAATAATTTACATTGGAATTAGTTTTCTTCTTTTGTATTTAGAAAAGAAATATAAAACTAGTTGGGACACCTGAAAACTTCTAGATATTTCTTAAAGTCTACACTATAACAAATTCAGGTGGTTGTAAATTTTTTTAATTGTAGAGAGTTTTATAGTGAATTAGGCAAGTATTCTATGATTATAGGTTTAAGAATGACAGGTTTTTAGCATATGAGCTGTCATTGATGTTTCATGTTATACAAGGTGAGCTGTGAAGTAATGAACATTTCAGTTCTTTTATAGTATTTCCATTGAATAATTTAATTCATAAAATGCTAGTAGGAAGAAATATTAGTGTTCTCTGAAGTTTCAGCTCAGAGTTTGCAGGGTGTCCCGGGAGATTGCTTGGTTTTTCCTTCCACCTACATAACTTTCTCTCAGACTTTTTGCAATAGCTAAGTGGTAAAGAGGTCCATTATCTTATGTTGTTTTCTATACTATACACTTATTTCTAAAATAACCTCACTGAGTAACTGCTCTATTGCCATGCAAAGTATAACCTTCAACAAAATATTGCAGCAAATCAGCCAGAGTGTTATGTCAGATATTTTGTAACATTTAAAATGTTCTCCTAAATCATTTAGTATCATTATCATTTACTTGTTATATTCTATAGCTTTATAACAAAAAGGAATAGCTCCCAGAGCAGGAAGAAAATGTTAGCAAAATTTTCATTATATAGAATAAGTTTCCAATATAACAAAACCTTTTGTTGGTTTTAAAGAGAGTGGAAGGGAGGGAGGGGGAGAGAGAGAGAAACAGAGAGAGAAGCATCGATGTGAGAGAGACACATGGATTGGTTGCCTTCTGTACATGCACGGACCAGGTTGGGGATGGAACCTGCAACCCAGGTATGTGCTTTTGACCAGGAGTTGAACTGGGACCCTTAGGTGTGCAGGCCAACACTCTATTCCCTGAGCCACACCAGCCAGGGTGAAAACTTGGTTGTTTTATGTTCCCTGTGCTGGTTTGTAATTTGAAGATAGCATAGATAATCTAAATTTTGTAGAATACTCTGTTTCCTCTGCGTCTTTTCTCTTTCATATAAGGGTAATATTAAAGCAAAGATTGTGCCATTTCTACTGCAATATTTTATTATAGGTCATATGAGCACTTAAAAATAAACCCTATTTCTTTTTAAAGTATTTTCATTCATATTCTATCCTGACAGAGTTTAGAGCTGGCATTATATTATTGGGAAAAGTAGATTCAGGAGAGACTGGGTGATATGGTTAAAGTCTCTTATGGTATCAGTGGTGAAACTGGACTAGACCTGATTTAATTTGATGATCCTCCCACTTGACTTGACCAGGGGAGTGCAGTGATATCTGTATGGATTTATCACATTTGCCTCTCTTAATGATCGGTCTTTAGTAGATACACTTTTGGCTGTCTTAGAGTGCACTTGCCTTAATTTAAATGGTTTTATATCATCGGTATGGCGCATTCTAATCATTTAGGTGACTCTTTTAGTAATAATTGGTAATATCACATTAGGACTTCAAAGTTCATTCAGTTCATTTGGTTATTGAAGTGTAAAGTATGTCAGAATCATATGTTTGTGTGTCAGAGGTCCCCAGCACCACTCCTATGACCAGTGATTTACTAAGAGGTGTCACAGACCACGACATAGTCATACTCATGGCTAGGATTTATGACAGTAGGTCCTTGGGTTACGTGGGAGATCCATTCCTATGGCGGCGCGGCGTAAGGCGATTTTCGCCGTAAGTTGGAACCCACCTACATAAGCACCTACATCACTCACATGGAGCACATACACAGCAGTAATGAAGTGAAACAGTAAAAAAAATTTAAAAGAAAGATAACAATTCTTGACCTTTACTTGTGGTAAATAAATAATAAAAAACATAAAGCACATATGTACATACGTCAAAATGACGGAACTTTTTTTATATATAAATAAATGGGAGATGGCAACGTAACCACGAAGCGACATACGTCGAGTCTGATGTAACCCGAGGACTGTCTGTATAGCGAAACGATATAAAGCAAAATCAGCAAAGGGAAAAGTTACATGGAGTAAAGCCTAGAGTAAACCCGGCACAAATTACCAAGAATCCTTTCCCATGGAAATCCCATGGCACAAACTTAATTCCCCCATGATGAATGTGACAGCACAGGTGAAATGCTGCCACTAGGAAAGCTACCAAACTAAGTGCCTAGGGTTTTTATTGGAGGCAGGTCATACACGCACACTCTGCCTAGCATATGCCAAAATTCCAGATTTTCAGAAGGAAAGCAGGTGTTCAGGATAAACCACATCCTTGTATAAACAACTCAGGTAGTGTGAGCCACTCTTAGCAGTTAGGGAATGGCAGGAACCTTCCCTAAATCAAATTCCCAGATGCCATCCAAGGGCCAAGATTGCAAGCAGTCTCACGCAGTTTGAACCCTGCTCTATTAACTCTTTTCTGTACAGTCTGTCTTCATTATATGATTATTTTCTTTTCTCTGTGTGGAGACTATAAGTAAATATATATATATATATACATATATATATATATATATACACACACACACACACACACACACACACATATATATAATTTTAAATTTAGACCCAAAAGCCATAGTTATAAAAGATCTTGATCAATTAGTAATAATTTTTGTTTGTGAAATTAATTTTGAAAATTAATTATTTAAAATCTTGGACTATGGATTCAGTCCATTTAATACATAATCATAATAATAGTTAACATTTTTTGGGTTAGGCAGTCTTCTAAATATTTTACATGTCTTCTCATTTAATCCTCACATAATCCTGTGACGTAGGTGCCTTTATTTTATTTTATAAAGAATCTAAATTAACTAAAATTATTTTTAAATTAACAAAAGTGCAGTTAAATAATACAGTTGTCTATAGTATATCTCAACATTTTAAAAAATCAAAACATTTAATTAAAATATGTCCACTTATTTTTATCCACATTTTTTCTTGCCGTGTATTGACTATAACTGAGAGGTAGCAAATTTTAGCATATGGACAAGCAATGAAGGAAGAAATAATCTGATGGATTAATAGTATTTCTAAATTACTTTGTTTTATAGTTTCTTAATCTTGGCTTTTCTTTTTCCTGTTGGTGTAAAAGTGAGGATTATTGTTGCAGGGGTGGGTATACAAATACTATAAAGATTATATGGGGCAAAGGTGAGTAATGCATATGTGATGTGGAATTCTTTAACACTTTTTTCCTATGTAATTAAAATCTTGTTTTTTGATTCCCTCTCTCCCCCAAGTCTTTAGATGACCTTTCAAATGTATCTTCTGATGATTTAATACAACTTCATGCTTACATTTCAGACACAGGTAAGAGACTTAAAAATTTGATTATTATTACCCTTACATTATTTTCCACATTTATTTTTATAAACCATTCTTCGATAGTCATATTTTTAAGTTAATTTTTCCCCTGCAGCATGTTCCTCATTAAATTCTTTGAAATTTACTTACTTGTGTATATAGGTATTTTCTTTCTGTAAGGTTGTCACTGTTAACATTTTAAAAAGCTCAAATTCTAAGTATTTTGTCATTGCTAATAAACTCGAACCAATCTTTCTCTCTTCTTGTTTGCATCTAGCTGATATTTGTCCGCATAATTCTCATTAAATCATTTGGGAGACAGATTTTAGTTCAAAATTTGTTTTCATGAATACAAAGCCAATTAGATAACTGAATAAATGAAGCTTTTAGAGGTATAGGAGTTTACAGAGGTTCAAGACATGCTTGGATTAGGTGAGAAACCTCTAAGATTTTGTGTCTCAATCAGCAATATGGTTAGTGAACTGAGAAAAAAATCAGTATTCATCATTGCCATTAGGTTATTAGATAAAGTCAGTAAGTAGTAGATAATGACATTTTCTTATGTGGTCTCTCCCTGGTCCTAGAATATAGGAGTATCGTGATAGATTGCATATTAAAGTATAGACATACTGAGATATAAATCTCAGTTCAATTTAATGCTTACATTTTAGATACTGAAATGAAATTTATAGTATAAGTGCAGTTTAAAAAATAACTGGCATTATTTTTTTAAATCTGTTTTCTTTTGTTTTTACTGGAGCTGGAATCTCATTTTGCATTCTGTTCTCTGCTAAATTTCTGTAATAACTTATCTATAATTTCTGTCCCAGTTCCTTTTTTTTTACATGTAGTTGGTGTACACATTACTTTGCTCTTAAAGGTCTTAGATAAAAACCTTGTCAATAAAACCAGGTTGCTTTTCTTTCTAGCTTTTGCTAGAGTTGTCCCACCTTTTCCTTCATTCAAATTTTAAATTATTTTATAAACCTCTATTTTCTTGGTTGGCTTGTCTTCCAAATATGAAAGCCTTTGTTAAAGTGCAGACATTTAGTATTTGTGCTTTTACTTCTTCCTTGAAGACCTTAAGCTTTCATGGCTAGAGGAAGATGCTCATGCCCATATTTCTTTTGTGGATCTTTCTCTTCTCTGAGAGTTCTGATTTTCCAGCTGCATTGTCCATTTATTCAGCAAGTATTTATTAGCTTCTTGTAGGAAGCACAATGCTAAGCATTTTTAATAAATTGTTATTCTTGTCAGAAACATTTAAATACTAAAGAAGCAGCATACATAGTAGTTAGGAGCACAACTTTTTATCCAGATTGCTTGGGTTGAAACCCGAGCTTTGCCACTTAATACTTGGGTGAAATTGGGTGGGTTCTTTATCTTCTGTTCTTCAATTTTATTATATGTAAAATAGGATAATAATACTAATAATCAGTAATGCTTACCTCATAGGGTTATTATAGGACTAATGAACTCATTACAATAGTAATAACATGATGGGGATTTTATATTAGTGCTTGTTCTATAAATATTTATTCTATCAACTAGAGGCCTGAGTGTGGTCCAGCTGGCCCGCCCCAATTGGGGCCCATTGGGCCAGGCTGGCGGTGGGGAGGGGCCGCGGGCATCCGGGGAGAGGGGCTGGGGGCGGTTGACGGTCGGCCCCGCCCCTGATCGGGGTGTTGGGGGCAGATCAGGGGCAGGGCCGGCTGGAGTGCGGGCGTGGACAATAGGGGCCCGGATCAGGCTTGTTGGCTGCCACAGTGCGCGTCATAGCCACTGGTCGTTCTGGTTGTTTTGCCGTTCTGGCCGCTGGGCTTTTATATATATAGATTGGCCTCCTGAGTCTCTCTGAATCTAGATCTTCACACTCTTAACATCTTTATTATAGGAAGAACTGACAGTCTAGTGCAGGGGTCCTCAAACTTTTTAAACAGGGGGCCAGTTCACTGTCCCTCAGACCGTTGGAGGGCCGGACTATAGTTTAAAAAAAAAACTATGAACAAATTCCTATGCACACTGCACATATCTTATTTTGAAGTAAAAAAACAAAACAGGAACAAATACAATATTTGTATTTGCATGTGGCCCTCGGGCCGTAGTTTGAGGACCCCTGGTCTAGTGTAGTGCTACTCGAAGAGTGGTCCATAGACAAGTGCTTACTGCTTCCTTCATTGCGAAATCTTGCTTTAAAAAATATTGGCTAAATTAAGCAATATGCTTAGTGATGAGATTGATTTATATTCTGGTCCTACATTTTTATCTGGCTATAGATTAACGACAGTTTGCACATCACCTGCTATGAGTAACATGGTCCTAATGAAAACAAAACCTATTTCCACTGTAATATCTCACCATCATCCCAAAATCAATATATATGTAACCTCATTTATCTTCTTTAAAACCAAATTACCTTCTGTCTTCTGTGCTTCTTTTATAATAACCTCATTGTTTTTCCTATGGTGCAAACATCCCGGCCATGATCTCTGTGCCTATTAATTTGTGATAAATCTGATTATTCTTTTGTAGAATGCTTCCTTACATTTCTCTTTCTTTTTCTATTCCTTGCTATTCTCCTTGCTGTTATTAACTCCTAACTGGTTATGGTTTGCTGCTTAATTGACCTCTGTTTTCTATTTTCCTTTCCCAAACCTCTTAAAACACAATAGATAAAGCCATTCCCTTATTTACATGCTATTGAGGGCCGGTTCTCACATGATGAAAAAGTGTATGGCAGTTTGTTATGCATAGGTCTCTGAGAGAAGGATGATCGGAAGAGGAGAGCAGTGAAATATAGTGTTACCTACAGTTTAAGCTCCTGAGAGCAACATAACCAGCCTTTCTCCAGTTTTATATTTTGTCAAATTATATCTTATATCCCAACATAGGTATGTCTAGATTCATCTATCCTCAAGTGATTGTGTGCCACAGCATCTCCTAGCCTGAGAGTATATATAAAATATTCGTAGAGATAAGAATACAACACGATGAAATAAGAACCAAGTAAATTATAGAAATTAAAATTCAGTGATTGGAATTAAGGTCAATGAATGGAATAAGACTAATACAGATGAGTAGAGACTCAGTAAACTTTTTGGAGACCTCAAGAAATAATCTAGAAGAGAATACAATGCAGAGAAATAAGAAAGTGGAAACTAGGAAATACAAAGAAAAGGATTAAAAAGGCATCTCTTTTCATAAGATTAGTACAAAATGTGAACAGGTTTTGATTTTAAAGACTACTGGACTTGGATAGTTTGTAGGAAATTAGTAGGAAAATGCCTTTAAAAAGTCTCCAAAATAACTACACTTGTGAATTGTTGATTAGAAATGAGTTGCCAAAATAGCAGATAAGTCTTATTCCATTGCTTTTGCTTTCTGTTTAGCTGAGGAGATTTTAATTGAAATATAACTAAATAGTGAAGGCTAGTACAAAAGGTTATTATTTTGTTTCTGTTATTTTTCCTCTATTAAATTTCAGGCTCTAATGCTGTGCTGTGAAGTTGTATTGTGGTATCCTAACTATAATTTAGGTAAAAGTCCTTGGGGAGATTGTTCAAAGTAGACATTACTGTGTGGTTGGTTGTGTGGTTGGTCATGGTTGGTCATGTCATCATAAACTTGTAGCTTGTTTTGCAATGTAGCCATCTATATATATAAAAGCCTTAAGCGACCGGAACGACCAGTCAACCAGTTGCTATGATGCGCACAGACACTCAATGCTGGGCTGCCCCCTGGTGGTCAGTGCACTCCCACAGCCAACCTCCCACAGTCCCTCACCCCATCCTGCCGGTTCCAACTGGCAGATCCTGTCCGTCAGGCCCCCAGGCCCTGTCCAGCAGTTGGTAGGCCCCCAGGCCCTGTCCAACAGCCAGCAGGCCCCGGCTGGCCAGGCCCCAATCGGACTGGGAGAGATGGCCCCGATAGGCCCTGATCACCAGCCAGGCCTAGGGACCCCACCCGTGCACGAATATTGTGCACTGGGCCTCTAGTCATATATAATACCTTATGGGTGCGAGTACAGATGATGGGATTCTATTTTATCCCCTGGTGACATCCTTTTGTCTCAGTCTGTCATTTCAAATTCTTCATTTCATGTTGTCCTTTTTGTTTTTGTTCTTCATCTTCCTCCTTTTTTGTGTCTTTTGTTCCTCTTCATTTTGTTTTAAATAACTAGTATATGCTGACTATGACCCATATGCTGTGGCAGGCGTTTGTAATGATCATGGCAAGACATATGCATTGTATGCCATCACTGTGCACCGACGCAATCTAAACAGTGAGGAGATGTGGAAAACCTATCGTCGTTACAGTGACTTCCATGACTTCCACATGAGAATCACTGAACAGGTAACGAGGTTTTAAAGTGTGTGCTTTAAATTGTTTCCTGATTCAATGTTTAATTCTAAATAGTTCTGAGGATGTTAAGGTATTGACCAAAGCCAATGAAATAAAACAAAGTAAGAATTTGTGTATAATCAGTGTAAACGTTAGAATGATTTTGAACATTTAACCAATAAATCAGACTTTAACTAATCATAACCACTGTGGACTAGACAAAATATTAATGGTATACCTTGGGAAATTAAAATGAGTGTGTATTTCTCACTTTGAGTCGTGTGTGTGTGTGTGTGTGTGTGTGTGTGTGTTTGTGTGTTTGTGTGTGTGCGCGCGCGGGATTATCAGAGGTATTTGAGTTTGGTTTAAAGTAAGGAAGGAGATCACTGTAGAATATTTTTTGATTTTCAGAGCTATAGTCATTTTAGATGACATCCTTATTTAATAGTTTAACAGTTAAGTCTTTGATCCATTGCATTATTTTAAGAACCATAACCTAAATTAAATTTAACATTAACCAAATTTGTATTAAATACAACTTTCTTGTTTTATAGAAATATAAGGACTCTTAAAGATAACAAACATAAATTATTTCTGTTCTACTTTTTATTAAATATTTTTTCTTATCCTTAATTTAGAAGAAAATAAACTATCACCAGATGAATGGAGTAGATGATCTATGAAATTTATTTTAACTCTTGAGAGTCTTCGATTTCATTCAAGGCTTATAAATATACAACTAGTATTAAGCCAATACAAATTATACTAATTAATGGTGACATTTGATTGGGTGGACTAAAGCTTTGAAATGACATTGTACTAGTTTAGTAATCAGAAAATGCCTTTTTCATTTAAGAGAGTAGAGGGAAAATGGTTGGCATTGGTAATCTCATTAAAATATTTTTTTAATGAGAGTGAGATAAACTACTAATAATTTAAAAATGATTAAAAACAGGTTAGTGTTGACTCCAGAAGCCCATATTAAAAAGACTATTTTGAGTTAGATTTAGATGAAATTAATAACTTTGGACATGTTTGCTTTTTCTGTTCATGTTGAGTACATCTTTATGAATAAAGATGTATAAAAATAAAAGGAAATCATTAAAATGTTAAATGTCATATTATTTTAGAAATGGGCTGAACTCCCCATTCATTTATTTAACAAATATTTATTGAGCTTTTCTTATATGCCTGGCGCAGTTCTCAATGCTGCAAATATCATTGTGAACAAGACAGGTCCTTGCCTCTAGGAGTTTATATTCCAGTAGATACTATGCATGTCTTTTTCATTGGGTGAACTGTAACTAAGTATAAATAAAAGTAGTGATTTAAAAGATATTAAGTATGTATTAAAGTAACTGAGTAAATGTATATTTGTGCCTGGATATAAACACATTTTGAATCCTGATATAAAATTTCAAGAATGTTTTTTAAATTTTCCAGTAATGTGTCTGGAATCTAAACCTGACATATTCGATGTAGAAAAATAAAATCTTTGATTTTGGAATGTCTTTGATTTACATATAGTATTTGAGTTTTTTGTGAGCATTGTAATACTCTTTATTATTATTGTGAGTTCTTTAGGAAAATTTCCAATTTCTTTTACATGCCTTTAAAATATTTTTATGAATTTTTGGCATAGAATTATATTACTTTTCAGGAATGGCCTACCTTGTACTTATAAATAATCTTTCAAATACCAAGTTTATAATAAGTCAATATGAAGTATAAAATTTTCCCATTTTTTCCTTTTATAATAATACTTTAAAAAGCTATTAATCATCAATGCCTCTGTTCCAGACAGATAATTTTAAAAGGAGTTTGATAATTTAGACTTTAAGAAAATAACTGTTATTGTAACATTTATTTTTTTCTTTTTATTAATAATGTTTAATACTTTAAAGTTTCTGAAATAAATTGTTTTCTTGGATACTGTTATATTCCCGTGGTGTATTTCATCATAACGAAATACTACAATATGGGTGGCTTAAACAACAGACACTTATTTTCTCATGTTTACATTCTGGAGGTGGAAGGCCAGATCTCAGTTTTGGGCTTATCTATCCCTGAGGCGCCTCTTTTTGGCTTTCAGTGACTGCCTTTCTCATTGTGTCCTCACATGGCCTCTTCTTTGTGGACTCTCATTCCTGGTGGCATTTTGTAGGTCCAAATTTCATCCTCTTAGAAGCACAACAGCCAGATTAGATAAGGACCCGCCCTAAGAACTTGTTTTAATTTTATCACCTCTCTAAAGGCTCTTTCTTCACACATAATCACATTCTGATGCACTGGAGGTTAGGGCTTCATGTTGGGGAACTACAGTTCAGTCCATACCATGTTGGTAATGCCAGAGTAAACTGCGTTCTGTAAAATTGAGTCCATAGTTTAAAATAATGTAGGTAATATTCCAGGAAATTAAATATTTTAGGACTCCTTGAAAACTTTAATTTACATCTATTAGGTGTGATTAAAAAATTTAATCCATTGGCCATTTGATATCCAAGGAAGACATATTCTAATAGTTTTGTGAATTGCCAAATTTATGAATATTACTACAGCATAACTTCTCCCCTGTAAATTGCCTCTCCACTTCCCCCCCTATCTTGCCTAGGGCAAAATAACTGCTTTTACCTTTCATATGTAACATACAATCAACTTGTTCACATAGCTCCAAGCAACCATCTGATTTGCCATTCCATTTAATAATTTATCAGAATCTTCCAGTTTGTGAATGAAAATTATCCTACACCTTTTCATTCCTCTTCTCTTTAATCTCTGCTCCAGAAATGAATGAGTTTTTGAACATAGAATGGTTTTAGAAAATGGTTTCACTTCAGAATATGTATCACATGGGAAAAGCAATGAGGCTGCTTGAAGTTTCAGATGCTAGGCTGTTGGCCAGGCACAATCACTAGCTAAATGACTTCCATCTTAAAATGTTTGTTAGTAGCTAGTGTGGTTAAAACTGCTTCAGTGAGGCACAGCAGCGTACTGCGTAGCTGGGACTTTGAAGGTGCACCCAAGTGTTAAGTAGTCTAGCACTTTACTTTTCATGTGGTTGGAGGGAAAGTATCAGTGTAGTACTCCAGCTGTGTATATACAGAATTGTAATACAGCTGTAAGCTATATTTAAAAATGTCCTTTTCTCTTAATAATTAGCCATTACAAGAATTAATTTATTTGAAGTCATCAATATAAAAATATTTCTTTATAAGATTTTTTAACAAGCCAGAAACACATAACTTTGATCATTAAAAAGTTATTTGCTAATACTTTATTTACAAGTCAAAAGATTGTTATAGATAACATTTTTTAAAAATTTTTATTATAAAAAATTTGAACAATCTCAAAATTAGAGAAAGTATTAAAATGACACCCCATGTGAATATCGCCCATCTTCATCAGCTGTCCATGTTTGTCATTCTTTATTGAAATTACTTTCTAATATATAACATTAGAACTGTGGTTTGCCTTTGCAACAGCGTGGATGGACCTGGAGGACATTATGCTAAGTGAAATAAGCCAGTCAGAGAAAGACAAGTACCATATGATTTCACTCATATGTGGAATTTAAGAAATTTCCAAGCAAAATGGAGACAGACTCGTACTAGAGACCAGGCAGACAGCTCTGGGAGAATGGGGGTGGGATGGGAGAGTGGAGGGATTGAGCAAAAAAGAAAAAAAGAGGGAACTCATGGACAACAACAGTGTGATGGTTGTGGGGGTGATAGGGGATGGGTGGAGGTGGAAGAAGGCATAGAGGGGATAAATGGTGATGAGAAAACTAAAATAAATTTAAAAAAGAACTGTGATTTGGACATATTTGGAAAATAATTTTCTATTTTCTGATTTTTGCTTAATAAAATACATTGCAAAATGATCTGTTTCAAGATGCTTTTAATATATAGAGAAATTGTTACTAGGAAAATACTTTTTTATTAAAAATTAAGATTATTGAATGTATTTTATCTTCTAGTTTGAAAATCTGTCAAGTATATTGAAGCTTCCTGGGAAAAAGACTTTTAATAATATGGATAGGGATTTTTTAGAAAAGAGAAAAAAGGATCTTAATGCATATTTGCAGGTAAGTTTATGTTTATTTTTGCCCATAGATTTTCATTTTAATATAGCTAATGAACTCAGTATGTCAAAACGTGTTTCATTGAAGGAATTAAGCTAGAGTGATAGGTTATATCATGAAATATTGTTGGTGAAAACGGTATTTTTTTGGTAACATTTAAAAGTTTTTGTCTGGATTTTTTAATGTACTTTCTATTAATGTTAAATTTGAAATTAGTATGTGGGTAAAATAATAATTTACTAATGTGGATTTTAGGATTATCTGTAAAACCTGAAAATGGAATAGTAAATATATTTGGACAACTTTCATATTAGATGCACTAAAAGTCAAAATAGCAGATGGAGAGAATAGTATATATCCTAACGTTAATAGTCATAGAATTATTGATGACTTTAACCTCATAATTGTTTTTTTAAATGTAAAATTAAAATTTTTACCCTTTTTTCCTGTTAGTTACTATTAACTCCTGAAATGATGAAAGCATTCCCAGTTTTGGCTCACTATGTGTATGATTTCCTTGAGAATAAAGCCTACAGTAAAGGGAAGGGGGATTTTGCTCGCAAGGTAAGCAGGCTATTGCATTGATTTTCTTACAGATCTATTTTCATACTTTATTTTCAACATAAGGAAATAAATTTATACTTATGTATGTTTTAAAACTAGAAAATGTTATTAAATGTAAAATGGCATGTTTATCTTCTGTGCTTTACTAAGCCTATCAGTAGGTGTACCTAATAAGCATGAAGTCCTATCTTTACATGTGGATTAAAGCCAGCAGTAGCTTCAAAGAAAGGGGGAAAAAACTTAGAAATGATGCATTGATGAAGATTTGCCTAAAACAGGTCACAAGCTTTTCATAAGTTTCAGAAGGAACTGTTTCTTACTAAGAGGAAATGTCTTAACTTGGAGTAAGAGTAAGAAAAGTGTTAAATAGGATATGTTTTTTATGTTTAAGTGTAATCCTTATTATTTAAAATTTCTTTTTGGATGCAAGACCTATACTTGGAATAAGATACTAGGTTAAAACAATAAATGATTAAGTGCTAAAATTGGACAAGATGCAGCGGTTCTCAACCTGTGGGTCGTGACCCCTTTGGGGGTCGAATGACCCTTTCACAGGGGTCGCCTAAATACATCCTGCATATCAGATATTTACATTAAGATGCATAACAGTAGCAAAATTACAGTTATGAAGTAGGGATCAAAAGATCCTTACAATCTAAAGATCCTTTTGAACGAAAATAATTTTATGGTTGGGGGTCACCACAACACGAGGAACTGTATTAAAGGGTCGCGGCATCAGGAAGGTTGAGAACCACTGGCTTAGTGGGTGAGAACACAAACTTTGGGATCAGATAGCCTTTGGTTCAAATCCCTGCTCTTCCATTTGCTAGCTGTGACCTGCAACTTAACCTTTTTGGTCTTTTAGTTTTCTCAAAAATGAAGATGTTAATCTTCACTTTAGAGCATTATGTGAATCAGATGAGATAATCTGTGTATTACAGTGCCTGGCAAATAACTAACCTGAATAAATGTTGGGTCTTAGTAGCAGAAGCAATAACAGCAGTTGGAGAAGCTTGGCGAAGGAACTCTGTGTATTATTTTTTGCTACTTTTTAGAAGTGTGAAATTATATGAAAATGAAAATTCACAAGAAAAAAAAGACTTCCTTGCCACTCCCTCTGCCCTGCCTATTGAAAATACTAACTTTTAAAACATTAAGGATTACCTCAAAAAATTAAAGATGGAACTGCCTTATGACCCAGTGATTCCGCTTCTGGGTATATCCGAAGAAAACTGAAACACTAATTCAAAAGAAAGTATATGCATCCCTATGTTCATTGCAGTATTATTTACAATAGCCAAGATTGCCCATCAGTTAGATCAGTGATTTTCAACAGTGTGCCACAGCACACAGGTATGCCAAAGAATTTTTAAAACATGCAACACCTGACTATTTAGTTAGGGGCACTTACCTCTTTTCCCTTAGATTGCCAGATTGAGGGAAAAAAAAGACTAGCCATCCAGTGTGAATGAATCAAAATTATACCTATTATGATAGTTTATGTGAGCCATGAGATGAAAAAGGTTGAAAATCGCTGAGCTAGATGAGTGGATATAAAGCTGTAGTACATTTACACAATGGAATACTACACAGCAGTAAAAAGAAGGAAATCTTACCTTTTGCAACAGCATGGATGGACCTGGAAAGTATTATGCTAAGTGAAATAACCCATTTTTATGTGGGATCTAATGAACAAAAGATATTGCTTTAATAATAACTTCCCGGTCATGTACCTTATGTTAGGAAAAACACGGGTGGTCTTATCTTTGTATTTCATGATGAAGTGATTGAGTTTAAATTCCAACTCATTGTCAATAGAGATGCATTCATGTACTTAATCTTTTTCATGTTTACCTTACTTTCTCTCTCATAAGATTGTATCAGTTTAAGCTCCGGCCAGGTAGCTCAGTTGGTTAGAGCATTGTCATGATATGCCAAGGTTGCGGGTTTGATCCCTGGTCAGAGCACATACAAGACTCAATGAATGCATAATTAAGCAAAACAACAAAACAATGTTTCTTTCTCCCTTCCTCTCTCTCTCTAAAAATCAATAAAATTTTTTTAAAGGATTGCATCAATTTTAGGATGCTAAGTTGATAACAGCTTTTTGAAATACAAGAATAATTATATTAAATGTATATAATTTCTTTTTACTAACAAACAGTTTTTATATATCCAAGCAGTTATATATCAGTTTAAAAAATATTACCACTGCAATCTAAAGATCCTTCTGATTCATTTTTGGAAATCCACAACACATACTTATAAAAATAATAAATCATTGCAGTAATTACCAGGGTCATTTTGATGTCCTTTAGATTGTCAGAATAATTTTTATGCCTATCAAGAATTAGGGGCACCCGTCTGGTGTGCCTCAGTGGTTGAGCATCAACCTATGAATCAGGAGGTCAGGTCACATGCCTGGTTTTCAGGCTTGATCCCTAGTAGGGGGTATTCAGGAGGCAGTCAACCAATGATTCTCTCTCATTGATGTTTCTGTCTGTCCTCCTTTCCTCTCTGAAATCAATAAAAATATATTAAAAAAATAAAAAGAATTAGGAGTTTTCAGCTGCCTTTTCTTTTGGCTAAATGATAGTTTAATATTTTTTCTTAATTATATTTTACTAGAAATTAAATAGCTATTAGAGAAAATTATTTGTAAACATTTTATTGACTATTTAGAGCTTGAAGTAATATTTTATAACACATTAACTTGATCATACAGTTTGTCTAGCTTTGCAAAATATATGGATGGGCCAGTTTGCTAGAAAAACTAACTTTCAACCAGTCTTCTCTGTGCACACACAATGTCCTTCTGTCCAGTTTTATATCATGGTGCGAAGGCGTTTCAAGCTATAGTTAGGGACCTAAATTTAAGTTAAAATTACTTTGTGTTTTTACCAATACAAAAAACTCAACCTAGGTGGTAATTAAATGACTAGGTAACATCTTTGTAAGGTAGGCTAAGTGCCATTAACCCATAATTTACTCCTCTGCTGGATAATTTTTAAGTTTCTTTTTCTGTTTTAAGCATCTGATTTAAGGCAAATCCTGTTGTTAGAAATGTTATTATATGGTGATGGACTCCGTTTTATGTATCTAAATTCAACTTCCTTTAAGGTTAGGCATCACAATCTTAAGTGTTTTTTCTGTCATGCTTGGCTCTCCCAGTCTCCATCCCAAAACAGATGCTTGGGATTTACCCTCAGAAATTGAGTGAAGAAAAAGGGGGTGGGGGGTGGTGAGAGAAAGAGAAATGGATTCTGTAGGTCTGGGATGGTGCACAAGCAACTATTTTAAATAATTGATGATATAGATTTAGGTTCTGTCAGTGGCAGTTTATCCTCATGTCTAGATAGCATGTGAGATTATATTCATTTAATCAACTCTAAAGGTTGTATTAGTTGAATCCACATTTCTCCTAAACCTACATTTCTAAATTGTAAGATATATAAAATTCTAAAATATTTTTGAGGATATTCAAATAGTTTTTTTACACATATGTGTATGTTTACTTTTATTTTATTTTTCAACTACAGTTGATATTCAATGTTAGTGTCAGATGTACAGCATAGTGGTTATACATTTATATATCTTACAAAGTGATCTCCCAGATAAGTCTAGTACCCACTTGACACCATGCATAGTTATTATAATACTAGAGGCCCAGTGCACGAAATTTGTGCACGGAGGAGGGGGGTCCCCTCAGCCTGGCCTGCACCCTCTTGCAATCTCGGACCCCTCAGGGAATGTCCGACTGCCCACAGGGATCGGGCCTAAACCGGCAGTTAGACATCCCTCTCACAATCCAGGACTACTGGCTCCTAACCACTCTGCCTGCCTGCCTCATCGCCCCTAACCACTCTGTCTGCCTGATTGCCCCTAACGCCTCTGCCTGCCTGCCTGCCTGCCTGATCATCCCTAACTGCTCGCCTGCCTGCCTGATCACTCCTAACCGCCTCTGCCTCAGCCCCTGCCGCAGCGGCTTCATCCGGAAGGTCATTTGACTGTCCAGTCTAATTAACATATTATGCTTTTATTATTATAGATTATTGACTATATTCCCTGTGCTGTACTTTATATCCCCATGACTATTTTGTAACTGCTAATTTGTACTTTTTTGTTGTTGTTGTTAATCCTCACCTGAGGATATTTTTTTCTATTGATTTTTAGAGAGATAGGAAGGGAAGGAGATGGGTGAGAGAGAGAGAGAGAGAGAGAGGAACATCAATGTGAGAGAGACACATCGATTGGTTGCCTCTTGCATGCTCCCCGGGCCCTGTCCTGCAGCTGAGGTACTTGCCCTTGATTGGAATTGAACCTGCAACCCTTTAGTGCAAATCCATGGGCCAAAGATCTAACCACAGCAAAACCGGCTGTGGCTAATTTGTACTTCTTAATCCCTTCACCTTTTTCAACCAGCCTCCCAAGTGCCCCTCTGGCAACCATCAGTTTGTTCCTTGACAGTAGTTTTTCATCTTTATTGTTGAAATTATTACAGGTGTCCCTTTTTTCCCTCCATTACCCCTCCTCTTCATTCCTCCCCCTTCCCAGGCCTTGACTGCCTCACTTACATGTGGAATCTGATGAACAAAATAAACTGACAAACAAAATAGATGTAGAGACATAGAAGTGTGCAACAGACTGATGATTCTGGGCAGTGGGGAGGGGTGGGAAGATAGATTAATCAAATAGTTTTTAATGTAGGTTGTGGATTAAAGTGAAATTCATGCCTTCTATGCTTCTGAAATTCTACCTCTTCTGTGAACATTAAAACTTAGTAGACAGATGACAATTTTCCCTCAAGCTGTGCATTTTAAATGTGGTAGTCTTATGTTTATCTCTCTTAATTCTGCTTGTGCTCTTAAAATAATAGTTCATTTATAATGTCATTCCAGTTAAACAAAAATTCCTGGCAATAATGTCAGTATTGGAAATAACATTCTGATTGATTTGAGTACTCTCATGGTTAACCAAAAATTACTGTGTATAGAATTAGAATTACAAACAGACACACACACACTTCATCTTTTTATCCTTTTTATTTCCATTTTTCTTTTCACCAGTGGTAGTGTTCATACCCTTTCTTCATGCTCATTTCTGTCCTTTATTTCTACTCTAAATTGCTGTACTTTGACAATATCTCCTATAGGTTGTATATTCTATGAAGTGTGTTTATAGCTCTATTGGCTCAGCTTATACTGGGGAGTAACCAAAACTCTATCCCTTTTACAGTTATTTTTGAAGTTCAGTTTTTTTGTTGTTATTGCTGTCTTATTCTACCTTTCCAGAGTGCTTTTCTTGATGGAAACTACAAAAGTATATTTGAGTGATTTTGTTTTCTTTATATCCTGTACTAGAGGCCCGGTGCACGAAATTTATGTGTGTGTGTGTGTGGGGGGGGGGGGGGGTGTCCCTCAGCCAGGCCTGCACCCTCTCCAATCTGGGACCCCTCGGGGGATATCCCTCTCACAATCCAGGACCGCTGGCTCCTATCTGCTCGCCTGCCTGCCTGCCTGCCTGCCTGCCTGATTGCCCCTAGCTGCTTCTGCCTGCCAGCCTGATCAACCCCTAACTGCTCCCCTGCCAGCCCGATGGCCCCCAACTGCCCTCGCCTGCCAGCCTGGTCGCCCCCAGCTGCCCTCCCCTGCCAGCCTGATCGGCTTCCTTCAGACGAGGCAGTGGAGATGCTGGGACTGGCCTCCTTCGCGCTGCGTGGCGCTGCGGGACCCCCAGGCCTCACCATGCAGAGCAGCTGTTGGGCCCCGCCTTCACTGTGCGCGCGACCATCTTGTGGTGGTGTCGCGCGCGAGGACCACCTAGGCTTTTATTAGTATAGATTAACATTATGCCATGTTTCTTGAACAGTGGGGTTCAGTTTTTCTACCATTTGCTTTTTTATTTATGCATGGCACATAATTTGTTTCTGTGGTAGTTTTTATGAGACTCAGCATTTTCTGGAAAATATTCTTGTAGTTTGGTATGACTAGTTTTGTGTCCAACCCCCCTCTCCTTTTTTTTTTTTTTAACCTCAGATAGTTCCATATTCATCTGCTTTGGTTCTTTAGATGTTGCTCTCTTTCTTCATTGAAATTATCTAACATTTGTACAACAACATATCTATTTTACTGCTCCAAATCCTCTGGAGATTATCCCATTTTATATCTCTGATCATAATTTCTTTTATAGTTTTTCTATTCTCCTTATTAAAATATCGTTTACATGTCTGGTTTGCAACTTCTTTTTTTCTTCTTCATAATGGATTTCAAATTCTCTACATAGAATGTATGTATCCTAAAAATTATTTTTAAAAATTAAATTTAAATAGTCACTTGTTAGTTATTTCAGCTTTCGGTTTATCTTACCAGCTTGTTTATTTTTCAGTATCTCCTCAAAATATCTGTCATTGTTGCCTTGAATTGTGGCAGAAGGATGTTATAGCTAATTCCAATTGCATCAGTTTTTGTTTTGAAAAACTTTATTTTCAGAATTTATTAAATAAGGCAGCCACAGTTTATATTTATTTTCTATCAATAACATTATCACTCAAATTTTTTAGTTATACATTTGTGTGTGAAGATACATTTTTAAGACACATCGAAGACACAGTTACATACTTTTTAAATGAAATGAGCTATTACAGACTGGAAAATTATTGCATCTTTCATACGTTACACTCTGTTTTCACAGACTTCTCAGTTGAATAACAGATCTGATACAATAAAGTCATGGTATAACATCTTTTCCTCTTTAGATGGACACTTTTGTGAATCCACTTCGAAATTCTATGAGGAATGTTTCCAATGCAGTTAAATCCCTTCCTGATAGCTTGGCAGAGGGAATGACTAAAATGTCAGACAACATGGGCAGAATGTCAGAAAGACTAGGTCAAGACATAAAGCAATCATTTTTCAAGGTAAGATAATTTGCATTAATGTCTAAAGCAAATTATTTTTAAGTCACCTAAGATTTATTGAGCCCCTGCTTAGATTTACCTATTTCTTTCAGAAGTTCAAAGCCTCTCACATATAGTCTCATAAAGAATTAAAAAAAAAAAAAAACTAAAGAGAATACATTCTTACCAGAAATGTATACTATAAAATCCAGTTTCTGCTATGGTAGAATTTTAAAATCTATGTAAAACAAATATTTTAAATTGGTAAAGTACAGGTAGTGGACCAAGTAGTTTGTTGTTTCATAATTTGTACCTTCAAATTTTGATCTAGATGTTTAAGGTTATAATTAAGATTATGGAATAAAACATATAGCTATTACAGTTTTAATTAGATCAGTTTGAATGAAGAGGAAATATACAGAAACACAGAATTTTTTTTACTGTAAGAGACAACTCCTAAAATAGTGTGTGTCAGTCATACTTCTCTGTTAATTCTCATACTTTCTCTGATGCTTCACCTTTATTTCTAATCATGGGAAGTACACTCACTGAAATGAGGATTTCCAGTGCCACTTCCGTGACTTCATACAAAGTCACTGAACTATTCCAGGCTTCTTTTCCCACATCAATAACATGAAAGGGTTATAATAGGTGATATTGATGGTTCTTCCTGTGATGATAAATGATTATCGGCTAGCACTGTTCTTTCTGTCCTTTTTTATCACAATTTGTCCAACAGGGTTAGTTTTTTTTACCTTATTAACATACTGTCAAGCTCTCTGTGGTAAAAGAAAGAAGATTGGAGTTTTATTCCCTGTCTGTGTTACTAACTTTTGGTCTTTAAATCATTTAACCTTTCTTAGCTTTAAATTCTTCAAAAAGGTATGCGATTTTGACTTAAGTAATCTCCCCTTCCAACTAAAAAGTTAAGCATTATAATAAATATATATATATATATATATATATTTTAATAATGAAATAATCACCCTTAGTTTCTAATTATAGGTTGTGAATACTTTTTAAATACTATATATCAAATCAAATGCAATTTATTATGTTTGGTAATTGTTTTATTATTATATTTTGTTCTTTCACTGTCTGTGGGTTTACTTTGTTTTTTTCTCTTTTTTTATGTTAGATGCCTCCTTTAATTCCAAAGACTGATTCAGATCCTGAACATTGTCGAGTTTCAGCTCAACTTGATGATACTGTGAGTTAATTTTATTTTGGGTAGTATTCAGTTGTGATTCAAATCACACTTGACAGATCTTTTTAACTTTTTAATGACGTATAGTAACATATAGCTACCATTAATGTGCATTTATTGTAAGTGTTGAGTTTGATGAATTCTTACAAGCTGAACATGCCCATGTAATCAGCACTCTAAACAAGAAACAGATTGTTGTCAGTACCCCAGAAAGCCCCTAATGCTCTCTTCCTGTCACTATGCTCTCCCCCACCAAGGGTAATCACTATCCTGACTTCCACCCTGCTTTATACTTTATGTAAATGAAACTATGAGGTATGTACTTCTTTAAGTCTGGCTTCTTTTTGCTCAATATTGTGATATTTGTTCATGTTGTTTTGTGTGATTGTAATTTCTTCATTCTTGTGGCCTTACAGTACCCCATTTTGTAAATATAGTACAATTTATTTGTTGTATTATGAATAGTATTCCAATGAATGTTCTGGTACATGTCTTTTGATTAAAAAAAATAAACATGTTTCTGTTGGGGCTATACCTAGGAATAGAATTGCTTGGTTAGAGGGTATGCAAAAGTTCAGTTTTAATGGATACTGTCCCATAGTTTCCCAAAGTGTTTTTTCCACTTTCACTGCCAGCAATGCATGAGAATTCCAGTAGTCCGAGCCTGCCAGTGTGTGTCTTTTTATCTTTAGCTGTTCTGGTTTTTGTATCTCAAGTGAATTTTCATTTCTCTTATGAGTGAAATGTTGAACCCCATTCCATATGTTCATTGGCCTTTTAGGTGTCTTGTCTTTGTGTCTAGTGCTTTTCCTTATTTTTCTGTTGGCTTGGCTGTCTTTGTCTTTTGATTAGTAAGAGTGCTTTATATGATCTAAATATTAATTCTTTGTCAGATTGTGTATTGCTTTGTGTGCTTTTGTTAACTGTATATACAATCGTACCTGCTGCAAGGTCACAAAGATATGTGGTTTTCTTTAATACTTTTTTTTTGTTTTGCCATGCTGAAACTTATATTTGGCATTCATCTAAGATTGATTTTTGTGTATGGATGAGGTAGGGGTCCAGTTGACCCAAGCACCAGTACTGAGAAGGCCTTCTTTTCCCCAGTTTCTGTGCTTCTCCTTTGTCACAAATCAGATTATTGTATATGTTTGGGTCTGGGCTCTGTATTCTATTGTATTAGACAGATTTATTTTACAGTTATAATTATTTTCCTTCATTTTCTCATTAAACTTCTTTATGATAAACTATCTTTAAAAATATAATATTTTAATCTGTTTTTAATACTATTTCAGAATAATTTATATTATGGTATAATATCCATAACATCATACCTTTTGTTAAGGGTTTTTACAGTTTAACCTTTTATTAGAATTGTCATGTGGCACCAAACTCGAATATACTTGATCAGAGAACAGTTTTTATTTTGCCTCTATAATGAAATGTGTCTCTCCTCACCTCCCCCACTACCATGTGCCCCTCCCCTTGGTTAAACTATGAGCTTTTAGTGTGTCATGAAAGGGAAGATACAGTAAGAAAATGTTTACAGCACAACAGTGAAAAATATATAATTCATGCTGTTTTCTTATTGTTTAGATTACAGCACTGATGAAGAAATCATTAGAGTATCTTAGTGATGAAAGAGTTATAAGCTTAACTGGCAATTATATGCAATTGTTGCATTTCTAAATCTGCACATGTTTTGGCTTTGTATATATTTTTTCACATCAAAGCATCCTAGTTGTCTTCCTTTACTTTTTACATTGTTAATAAAATATTCCCATTATAAATGTTCACATTTTTACTGGTTAAATGTTAAAATTCTCGTAGTTTAGAGAAATATGTCTTAGTACTGTTAGCTGTGTACTAGATTTTATTCAATTCTTTTCCCTGAAAATATCTAAATACATAAAACTCACTAATCAAGCACAACACATTATTTTGTGTAGATTGTGTTTTGTTATATTAAACTTGAGGCCTGGTGCACAAATTCGTGTACAGTGGGGTTCCTTGGCCTGGCCAGGATTGGGCCAAAATCGGCTCTCCAACATCCCTTGAGGAGTCCCAGAATGTGAGAGGACACAGGCCAGGCTGAGGGACCCCACCAGTGCACGATCAGGGCCAGGAAGGGACCATGGGAGGGTTCCAGGGCATGTCCGGCCTGTCTTGCTCAGTTCCGATCTGCCAGACCCCAGCAGCAAGCTAACCTACCGGTTGGAGCATCTGTCCCCTGGTGGTCAGTGCACATCATACCAACTGGTCGACTATCTGCCCCCTGGTGGTCAGTGCACATCATAGCGAGTGGTTGAGTGGCCTTAGCATATCATTAGCATATTATGCTTTGATTGGTTGAACGGATGACCGGACACTTAGCATATTAGGCTTTTATTATATAGGATGAGGAATGTTGAGACTATTTTGTTCTTTTGAAAAAGATGCTTCAGGAAATAGGCAATGGGGCTAGTATTTGCCTTATCCAACTAGTACAGACTCTACTAAAAGTAAAAGAGCCAGTAATCTTTTCCCAAGACCATTATTATAGTCATGGAATTTACTCATTATTATAGGGCTGTAAAATTCTGTATTTGTCAAAATGACTGTTAAAAATGTCTTTTCTAAATTAAAATGAAATGCCAGGTTATGCAAGCTATAATATAACTTGTTCTCTGACCTGTGAAATGGTAGCAATAATTTTGTAAAGTGTCCATTTATGGTAGGTAGGTAACTCAATTAAACATGCTTATTTCTTCTCATACATTGTCAGGTGGATGACAATATTCCGCTTAGGGTAATGCTGCTTCTCATGGATGAAGTGTTCGACTTAAAAGAGAGAAATCAGTGGTTGCGAAGAAATATCAAAAACCTACTTCAACAGCTTATTAGAGCCACATATGGTGATACTATTAATAGGTACCACATTTTTTTATTCTTCTTCCTTCATTTATTACTTAGCTTTTAAACTTTTACTTCTAGAAGTAAATTGTTCAGCCTTCTTAGGAGAATTTCCTTCTCTGGGCCCTTTAAGGACATTATTAAAGCAGTCTATTTCTCTCAGAGATTATTTATATGCAAATTAAGTTGCTTATTACTCCATGAAAGTAGTTTTATTTTATTCACCTAAAATTTTGACTGTATATAAATTTCTTTACTTTCAGAAAAATAGTCGACCATGTTGATTGGATGACCTCACCTGAGCAAGTAGCGGACTTAGTGAAACGTTTCAGGTATATCTAAGACACAGTCACTTCTTTCAGGTAGTACAGAGTTTAGCATTGTTATCACTAATTAACTCTGATTGCTTTTCTTTTCTTCCTGGCCATAAAGTTGTTTTTAGTTATCACTGATGAGCCAAAAGACTTGTAAGAATTGTAATAAACATTTTTTACATGGGTATGTTGATCTTTGTTTTCTTTAAAACCAGAATAGAAAAAGCATAAAAGAAAATTCTTAAGATGTTAGGCTGCATTTTAAAGTGGCTTTAAAATAATTGACATACCAGTGTGGACAAGGCATGGCCATATAATCCAGTACCTAGTGTTGGGGATTTCTTTTTCTTGCTTGTTTGCTAACCTTGATTTTAAATGAAAACTTTAAAAAGTATGTATGTCTCTGGCCATCGTCTAATTTTTTAACTATTTGAACCTCTGAAAAGAATACACATTAGGAGCAGTGATATTCCAGTGTATATGTTCATTCTATAAAAATATTTCGAGCCCCTCCTCTATGCCTAGTGCTTTGCCAATCACCAGGGACTCAGATGCAGTTCCTTTAAGAAAAGCATGGTGTACCAGAGAAATGGACCTCTTTTCTAGAAGTGAAAGATAAGCAAGACATCAATATTCATGGCATCGTGTATTTCAAAATAATGGAAGCAAGAAGGGAGCTATCAGTATTAAGCACTATTTGCTTGGTACTATGCCAACTACTTTATGTACACTTTCTGGCTTTATCACGTTTCAGGAGATAGGGATTTTGTCTCCATTTTGTTAGGAGGAAATTGAGGATTAGACAAGTTAGGCAGCTTGCCCAATGGCTTGTGTGCTGGAAACAGGGAACCGGGTTTCTCTAATCTGAGGCTGCATTTTCCTCTGTACCATACTGTTTCCAAAAGTTGGACCACTGCCCTGGCACATTGATTCTGTTTCAGGGTAGGTAAATGGTGTTCCTCAGGAGCAGTGATTCTCAGCCTTGGCTGCACAGTGAAATCGCTTGGAAAGCTTTACAAAGTGCTGGTGCATGGGCCCCTCTCCAGAGTCTGACTTAATTAATCTGTGGGAAGGCCGACACATTAAGAGTTTTAAAGCTCCCAGGTGTTTCTAATGTGTAAAGTTAAGAACGACCGCTCTGGGGATTCTCTCTCCCTTAGACCAGATTCCCTGACGGAAGCTTAGTTATTGTGCTTGAATTCCTGCTTTTGGCCTCATAAATAAGGAACAGGAATTACGCATGCTGTGAAAGTGAAGGAGAACGGGTTATATGTGTGAAAGGAACATTGTACTCAATCCAGCTGTAAGGTGTGGGTGCAGAGTTTGTTTTATGTTGGCTTAGTGATAAGGGGCCTGAGGGAGATTAACTCTACCCAAATTCAGGACGTTGTAGGTTGTATTTAGATGAGATGTTCAATCTCAATGAGAGGAGAGGCCTACTTTGAATTTAAATGTTGTGATATAGTTGTTTATGTATTCCGTTTTGCTATCTTTATCATTTGTCAGTGTTTATAAGTTATATCAGGGCAGAATTCATCTGTATCTTTCTTGTGTATATCCTTTTATACCTAAAATTGAACCTTGTACTTAGTTTCTATTTGTTGAATATCATACTTCTATAAAATTTCAGAAATGTTTCCTATTTGTGTTTTCTATAGAAAATTGGAATAATTGTACCAACTTGTATTATTAGAAAATAAATATAGTTAAAAATTTAATCTTTTTAAATAGAGATGCCTTTTGGCCAAATGGCATTTTAGCAGAAGCTGTTCCATGCAGAGATAAAGCTATCCGAATGAGAACAAGAATTGCAGGAAAAACTAAACTGCTTTCAATTATGCCAGGTGAGTGAACATGTTGGGTAAAAAACTCACTAATTTGTAGTTTTTCTGAATTTTTGGCATTAAGCATGCTAGTTTGATTATATCAACTACCATTTGATTACTTACCATATATGAGGCACTGTTCTGGCAGTCCTCATTTTTTCTTAACCAGTCCTTATGACAATATTATGAAGCTAGGCACTGTTAATGTTGCAACTTTATTCGTGAGGAAACAGAAGCTCAAAGAGATTAAGTAAGGTACACAAAGTTTATAGCTGGTAAGCAAGTGTTGGGATTCTGAATCAGCTCTGAATGACATGAAAGCCAGTTCTTTCAACCACTTGAAAAAAAGTGCTGCTTTCAAACCCCTTCACTTTGCTGCCTTGAAACATTATGAGGATAATTTGATGATAAATAAAATATGTAACAGACTTAAGGGCTAATAAGGGAATCTGAAGTTTGAGATTTTAGGAAGAATATTGAAGAGAACAAACCAATTTTTTCAAAGAATCCCTTTATTAGGAACAACTGACTGATCCAATATTAATCTTTATTAAAACATGATCTCAAAGAGAGTCCACATAATGGCATTCTGTTGGTCTAATTTGAGTTACTTCTTTAGAACACTGCTGTTCACTAAGTTAAATTCACTTTATCCCTTGTCTTCTCTCAGTAAGAGAAGGTATGTAATATGACAGGCAGTATGTGTGGCTGGGTGGTTATTTGGTCCCTTCTTTGGTTTATGAATATCTCTGAAATACCTAGGTATCTTCTCTCCACATTTAAATTATGGATGTAGAGAATCTAGAAGATATATTTGTTAAGTTGTTTAATATCATAGAATACCTATTTTTCTATAATTTAAAACTAAATTTCCATCATAAATTTTAATAATCAACTTTCTCTTTTGTCAGTTAAGTTGGAAACTTGCCACATGGCTGTTAATTCTGCCCTATAGACTATACTGTTGCATTTGGATATAAAAAGTAAATTATAGCCGAAACCGGTTTGGCTCAGTGGATAGAGCGTCGGCCTGCGGACTGAAGGGTCCCGGGTTCGATTCCGGTCAAGGGCATGTGCCTGGGTTGCGGGCACATCCCCAGTGGGAGATGTGCAGGAGGCGGCTGATCGATGTTTCTCTCTCATCGATGTTTCTGACTCTCTGTCTCTCTCCCTTCCTCTCTGTAAAAAAATCAATAAAATATATTTTTTAAAAAAAAAAAGTAAATTATAGAAATAACATTTCAAAAAAAATAAAAAGACACAATAATTTAAAATATTATGTCATAAACTACTAGAATACATTAGGTCTTCCTATAGACTGACTCAGTTATGCAGCTGAAAGAATCCTTAGTGCATTTATTCAGTAAGTCTTTTTTGAGAGCATATCATGTACCATACACTATTCTTTGCACTAATGTTTGCCTACTTGGAGTAACACTCTAGTGAAGGGACACAGAAAACAGACAAAACAATAAATATAGCATAGTATGTTCCATAGTGGAAAGTGCTGAGACAACAGAGAGTAAAGGACAAGGGAGGTGTCAGGTGAGTTGCAGACGTAGATGGGGTGACCCGGGAAGGCCCTGAGAAGATGACACTTGTGTAAAGATTTGCAGGAAGTGAAAGTAGATATAAAAATATATGTACATAATCCCTCACTTATTTTAAATTATATTGTACCCCTAGTTAGAAACATACCTTTTGAAGTTGCGTATTTCTTTCACAAGCACCAGAGTAATATTTACTACTATTGGGGTCCTAATTATGAATAACTAAGAATAATCATGCGTGTTGTTCCCATACTCAGATATCTCTAGTGACCTCATGTTGCCTGTGAGTAAACTCCAAACTCGCTCATCCTGACAGTCACAGCACTATCAGTCCCATTCTGTTCTCCACTTTCTCAAGGGAAACCCTAGATTCAGCCAATGGCACCACCCCTGCTCCTAGCATCTGCCTGGTTTTGTGCCCTTAGTGCTCACTCACTGATGTTTCTCCACCAAAGCCAGTCCTTCATCTGATTGTATCTGTCAAATTCCTGCCCAGGTAGCAACGTCCACTTCATTTGTTACTTCCTGGAACAGACCTTGCCTTATATTCTCATGTAGAATTCTACCCTCCATATACATTTTTATATTTTTTGTATTTTGATGGCACTGTTACTGTGTCACAGGTGTTTTTGAGATCATATGTCAGCTTTCACACATGATTTCCTTATAGTGTATTTCTCACTGTGCATTACACAGAGTAAGAATATGTTTTTGAGGTTACAGGTCACTTTTCACATTATCTAATTAAAGCCTTATAAATCCTTAGAGTTATAAGGATATTGGTTATTATAAACCCCCATTTTACAGATAACAAACTCAGGGTAGGTGAGTATCGTATAGTATATGTGTTAAGGGACAGGATTGTAATTCTCATTGGTGTTTCTGAGCTGGGTCCTACTTCTTTCTCATGTGCTGTCGTGTCTCCCAGTATCCATTGCATCAGTGATTGGAGGCATGCATGCACATGTATAAATTTTAAATCTCAGTTACAATACATGGCTAAACGCATTAACTGAACACCTACTACATTTTAGTTACTCTGCTGTGTTCTTTGTATACTTGGTTTAACGTAGAGCATAGTTTAGGCCTTGTGCTTCCTTTATTTGAGTAATGAATTGTGTTTCTTTTCCCCCCTATGTAGATGAACTGAAGCACATTATTGGGGCTGAGACAACACGGAAAGGTATTCTTCGTGTTTTTGAAATGTTTCAGCACAACCAGTTAAATAGGAGAATGGTTTATGTCTTCTTGGAAGGCTTTTTGGAAACCTTATTTCCGCAGTATAAATTCCGTGAACTTTTCAACAAACTGCATTCACGGTCAATGCAGATGCAGAAATATAAACAGAAACTTCAAACATCTCAAGCGCCTTCTTTACAGAAAAGGTGACACTCCAATCTGTGAAGCTGGTGTTCCTTTTGTCCAGAACTAAAGTGTGGACAGATCTTCTGGGGCTTAACTCATATACTGTTGTGCCTGCACCAGTCTCTTAATGTCTCAAATAGATTATTAATACATCCACAAAACTGTGGTATTTTTTCATCCTTGTCTGTAATCCATCACTACCAAGAGAGTTGCCGTGTCTTAAATGATTTGGTGCATATTTTTGCAACATTGAGAGGATACTGCCCCCATCTCAAGCAAGAACGACATCCATTTTTTTCATTTTAAATTAATCAGCGTTCTGCAGCAATGACACAGTGCCAGAGTGTATGTATGAGAGCCAAGGAAAGCACAAAGCAACGGTTCACAGATATATTCGCTAATTAGTCTAAAGTGGGAGACTGTGCAATGTATGATTTGGAGGGATTTGTTTTGCATAATGATTTTATAGGTCTCTTGGAATTTTGATAAATTGTGAGTTAGCCAGATGAATGATCTTTGGAACATCTATTTTGGGTCTGGGGAAAGTGACAGAATGCCCTTAAGGTATGAATTAACCTTATACCCAAATTTATAGTTCTATGACATAAAATAAAACCTAGTATAAAATAAAACCAATCAGAAACAGAATGATTGGATTTGTTCACTGGTATAAAACTAGCTTTAATTGATTCTAATGTGCTTTAAGGGCTCTCTTTTGCTCTTACAGTACTCAATCCACGTTTTCTTTTGGTATTCTGTATGCAAAAAAAAAAGCATATGGTGGCTCTCACTTAAGTTTCAAAATTATTGCAGTTTTCTTTACCTTTAAGAGATTACAGTTATAAAGTAGGGGTATAATTTGTTGAAAGACTGCCAAAAAATTCTGTCCTTCTAAAATTAATGAAAATGTGAAAGGAAACAGCACTCTTTTGAAAGTTACCATTTGATAATTTTAAATTGTGTGATCTAGACATACCTTAGGTGATTTTAAAAATATCAAATAAAAGGATTAAATGAGTTTATTAGTCATATAAACATACAAATTCCTAATTCTATTATAGTGTACATATATGAATATAATGAAAAACAGAACTATAATATTTTTTAAAATATGCTTTTATTTATATTTTGCATAATGTAAAATTCTACTAAGTAAAGCAAGTTGACAAAACCCCTCAGTGTATACATTTAAGTCCCTCAAATAATTTTATACCAACAATAAAGTACCTTTTCCAGTTTTGGAGCCTCTGCATTTCCCACAGTTTTCTCCTCCTCCTCGTGTCCATCTTGGAAGTCTCTCTATCCTTTGTATGCAGGATTTCTGCATAGTTTTAAACACTTCCACTGACTAAGGGTTTGAGTGTGTCAGCATTTTTTGTTTTAAAAATATTTAACACTAAAACCTTAAAATAGTGAAGCTACTTATTGGGCCACTGAGCCAAGATCCTGGTATTAAAAGAACACCCGGGTGCTTAAGATAGAGGGACAAAGTATTGGTATCCCAGTTATTTGGGAGCTTTGAGAATGGAACAAGATATTATCGTCTTGTTTTCACTGAGGTCCTACTTAAAGAGTGAAGCCTAATAGCAGAATAAAGCCTTCCTGTAAAGCTTTATAATAATAATAATCGTATTTATATTAATGATGCTGGTGTGCATACTTGTATGCATCTATTCATCGTGTTTTGCATGTCTTCAGAATTACATAAATGAAATCCCTTTCATTGCAACTTAACAAAAGAGAAAAAGATCCTTATTAACTCTAGTGGAAGAAATAATATTTCTTCTCGGTGTATCTCCCTGCCCTGGTCCCTCCCCATACCCCAGGCTTTAAAAATGAGGCTGTTTGAAACATGTCTGTCAAAAGCATCAGCATGGCCACAAGTGCAATGATTTTCAAATATACCCCTGCCCAGTTCAAGGATATTTTTGACATAAATCTAAGGGTAAACAAGAATTCATGTAAGTCTAGTGTGTACATGTGAAAAAACATTTCTAGATAATGCGAGGAGCGCTGGCCATCAACCAGGGAAAGAAATGTCATGCAAGACTGCAAATTTTCTTAACAGAGCCCTGCAAGATAACTGCATTATACCAAAAAAATGTTTGAGTAAATGGGTTTTTAAAATAATTTTTGTTAAGAGAGTTTATATTTCAAAAGCAGGAATGTCAAATGGTAGTCTATGTAAACAGTTGTGCATCTTCTCCATGCACATCTATCCTTTACATCAGAGAGAGCTGTGGTCATGCTAAAATTAGAGATATTCTTTGAATGACTTGGTCAAGCTGGGTGTAAAATATTTAACCCATAAGTACAATGTACTATGTTTAATGAAGTTATTACATTTAATGCATTTATTGCATATATGAATATACATGAAGAGGCTTTATGTCTTCTGATATTTGATTTTTGAATGTTTGTTAAGTCAGTGGTGCCTGCAGGCAAAAGTCATAAAAGTTAATCATTCTTTGGGTTTTCTGATTTTTCAGGTAACAAACTATTTAGAAACCATCATTATTAACTTTTAATAGTTTATTCACCTAAAAAAAATTGATTGTATGATTTAAATATAGCAGTTAGACGGGCATTTCCTATAATTTGGGTGTACTGAATAGTTGCTGAAAACAATTGTGCCATTGACCAGTGGATGCACTTGGTTAGCCTTAATTTTTTTTAAACAAACATTAAAACTTTTTTTCTATTTCAGTTTGCTCATTTTAAGTTGTATTGCTGGTGTTTGGGGAAAACAATTAAACAGTTAAGTGCTACCAGAAAGTGTACCAATTTTTAAAAAACTAAGAACAATATAAATTTCACAATCTAAAATTTTAATTTTGTGCAATATTTTCATTTAATGCATGTGTATTTGAGTAATTGTAAAATAAATGAATTTTTAATGTTTTGAGATCTAAATTAATGTCTTCTTAACCCAACAACTTACATTCCGTTGTTGCTGCATCCTTTTATTTAAGGACTTGTTTTAAAAGTCTTTTTGTCACTCCTTGTAAATTCTTTTGTTAATAGTAAATTTTGCTTATAGGAGCATGGCTCCTGTATTACAAGGGAAAAATATAAAGAGCACATCTTAGGATTATAATTGTTAAAAGATAACTTGTGCATATCATTGTACAGCAAGTGTCAACTGTGTGCCTAACTACTCTATCAATACTTTCCTTCTTTAACAAAGAAGAAACAACAATCAGAATGTCAGTTATTTTTATTGAACTAAAAAGAAGAGTAAAAATTTTATTTGGTTTGTGTTATGTTCTGTCCATTAGAAAATACTAATAAAGTATTAACAAACTTTTTTGTTGAATTTATTTAGTAGTAATGCATTTTTATTACTTTAAAAAATGCTTGCTCGGTGGTCTTATTTTTAGTATCTCTGTGTATTTTTTTTCTTTTCATTTTGGAAATCAAGCAATGCAAGATCCAGGTTGCTAGATGAGCTATTGAGTGATTGACTTACAACTAACTGAATTTAATTTTCCTTTTATGGGGCAAGTAACTTACTACCACTGTGTTAAATCAACTTCATACTTCCCAGTCATTCAGAATTATAAAGTAATTTTCCCATAGATCTATAATAATCTATTAACAATTTTTACTTTATCTTGTTTTTAATTTATAGTTTGCCTAATGTTTTAGATATTTCAGTTCTAAAAGCAGTTGTTTCATTACTCAGCAATGTAGCTATATCTGGTTGGTCATAATATTTGCAGCCTCCCTGGATCTGTATCCACAGACTTCCCAGACATCAGATGTGATTACTGCCACCTTACCAGGGACAGGCACAATATTTCTCAAGATACATATTGTAAAATATTAATCCTTCTATGATGTTCTTGGGAGAATAATTTTATACTTTTATATAACTTATGCAGATCTACATGCTAGCCAAAGTCCTAAAATGTTCACAATTCAAATGATTATATCAAAGGTTCTGAAAAGTTTTATAATAAGTAAATCTGTTTAACCTTATTTACCCAACTTCCCAAACTTAGTTATCCATAGGATCTTTTGTCATAATCAACTATTAGTAGCTTGAGGATAACATTCCTAATATTCAAACCTAAAGAACATGGTTTGAAAAACAGTCATAGGAGGAGACTACTATCATTAGGGAATATTAACTCTAGACAGAAAAAGCAGTGGATTGGGGACACAAGATTTCATTTATATATATTGCCTATCATTCCAATGGAAAGTTTAGTTTGGGGAATAAAAAGAATATGGAAAATTAATGGCTGATTATATAGTAGATGATAGAATTGAATTTTGCCCTGGGTATCAGAATAATGAACTCAGTGAGGGGAAATAAAGTGGGAAAGATACTTGCTCAGGGCCTTGCTGATGAGATCAAAAGAGAAGTAACTAGGAAATGCAGGAGGGAGATAGAAATGTAATACTGTACAGTTGGTTTTTAAAATGTGTGCCAGACATTGCCCCATATGTAATGGTGGGCACTGTGTTTGATCGAGGAAAAATTGCAGCAGCTGCAAACCTAGTGTTTCACAAGGAAAAAATTAATAGATTGAAAATTAGAGTCAACTCATGTCATCAACCAGTGCACAGTGTATTGAAATGTATGAAATGTGATATTTTAAATTGGTAAACGACCTTTTACGTATGATCAGGTAGAATAAATCAGTAGG